GAAATAGAAAATTGCATGGTTTAAATCCTCTTCCCCGCCCTCCCCTAAAACCACTGCTGTTTTTAATATAGGGAGAAGTATTCTGATAAGCAGCACAGTCTAAAAGAAAGATGCCCCTTGCTCTGCTGCTGCCATTATCTCTGTGTGTGACCCAGGGAAACTCTGTGACCTCGGTGTCCCCGTGCCCCCGAGTGTGACAGTGACACTCCTGCTCTGTGTGCAGCCAGACCTTTAGAACATTATTAGTGTGAGCTGGGAATTAATTGGGTTTAGATGCCTCACTCTAACTGGAATAAAGCCTGCTTTTTTGCCTTTTTTTTTTCTTTTCATTAGCACAGTGAGTAATTAACTCTTTGATTTTTCACAGACTGGGTTTGATTCTTCATCTCAGGTAATTTTTCAGGAATACATGAGAGGGGTTTTTTGCCTTTCAGACCAAATGGCAGTAAAATTAGGGGAGTTTGTAGCTTTTATTCTGGATGTGATTCCCTTCTGGCCTCTGTTTGTGCAACTCAGACCCTGGTAAGTGCCCCGGTGACATTTGTGCTGACATTAATTTGTGGTGCATTACAGGGAAGGCTTGGGATGGGATTATTTTCAGATATTAAGCATGTTTTGCTTGCTGAGTTTAATCAGGTCCAGCTCTAAAAATATGAAAATAACTGGGATTTGGTGGCCCTGTCACCTCACACATGTCACTGGGGTGAGTGTGGGTGTGAGGCATCACTGCTGGTATCCCCTGCACAGCCAGGCAGGAGGAAGGATGAGCTGATCCCAGTTCTCCCAGTTCCCATGGCCTGTGTAACCCTGGGGAAGCAGCTGTGGGAAAGAGGGGAGCCTGCCAGGGAGGGGTCAGGGCTGGTAAAAGCTTGGGCAAGGGGATACTTGTGTGCCAGGGAGGAGGAGATGGAGACCCACCAAACCTGAACAATGAGACAGCAGCGTGATAAGCACTCAGGATCTGGGTTAGCTTGGGCTGAATTCAAACTGCTCCCTGGAGGGGGAAGATTATACTGTGTTAACAATTCCCTGACCTGCCCAGGCTCCGTGGAAATGGGCTCTGAAGTCAGCCAGGGCTACAGCAGCCACTTTCTCACACTTGCAGCACTGACCCAGTGGAGGTTAACACAGACATCTGCTCTATCCAGCCCATCTGTAATTATAGAAAGCAGCCCCTGAAATGTGTTTCCAATCAAACTGTGGTGCCAGTTACCAGCTAAAGTATGCTCTGTCTGCCTTCTAGCAACTGAATAGCCCAGGTGAGCTGTGCAAAAAGAAACCAGGAGGATTGTTAGGGGAAGAGTGTGGCCTCTGGATGCAATGGAATTCTTTATCTCCCTGAAACAGATCCGAGAAGCAGAGGGGGAAGGAAAACCAAGTGCAGACAAAGCTCTCCCCAGAATATATTGAAAGGACCAAATGAGCCCTTCAGAGCAGGAAGAGAAGGATTTTTAGGGAGTGCTAGCAAGGAAATGTTCGGCTGTGCTGGCCTGCCCAGGAGCAGAATGAACCCAGTGTTGTGTCAACAGGGTAAAAATGAAGAACGCCCAAGTGGTTTTCTGTCTGTTAAAGGGCAAACAGGCCCAAGAAATGTATTTCAGCTCGGGGCTGCTGCTGAAAGCAGCCCAAGAGGAGAGGAGGGAGGAGAGTGTGGCTCTCCTATATATATATATATATAATATATATAATTTAAGCACCCTCCTGTGGCAGGGTGGCACAGCTGGTGCTGGAGAGGGTCTGTGTCTGTGCTGGGACACCCGGGGAGCCCTGAGCCCTTCACAGGGGTCAGCGTGCCACAGGACGTGCAGCAGTGATGCGAGTCTGCATAACCCTGGCGCCAGGCAAGGTTTTCTCCACCGTGGTCCTGCAGAAAATGCTCTGTGCTTTGTTGGAAAAGCCCGAGGAGAAGCAGGGCACGGCAGAGAGTGCAGCTGTGTTTTCCTGGTGGTAATAGGTCTGGGCACCTCTGATTAGCTCATTAGATTCTATGACTAAGCCTATTACAGCTTTTAAGCTTGGAGCTGAGGTTGATGTGATGTGCTGATGGCTCCAGCAATGGCAATGGCCTCACTTTGCTTCTTGGCAGGGAGATTTTCTGCTGAGGAACCCTCAGGTTCGGCTCTGGGGATGCCAGGATTGCTTCCCCAGCCTAGCAGGAGCTCTGTGGGTGCAGGTGAGGCAGGGAATTGCTGCCAGAGCAGGAGTTAGGGCAGCCCCTGGGCTGGGCTGAGCCCCTCCTGTGGTGCTGTGCCCCCACAATGCTGCCACTGTGCCCTGCAGCCTGGCAGCAGCGTGCCCAGCCCGGGCTCTGGGCTATGGCTGTGTTTGAGGGCCCCAGGGTGAGGGAAGAGAATCCTGACTCCATGTTTCAGAAGGCTATTATATTATATTATATTATATTTATTATATATAATCTATATTATATTATAATGTTATACTAAAACTATACAAAAAAGAATAAAAAGAAAAGCTCTATCAAAAAAGTAAAAAAAGAAAAAAAAATATAACAAAAGCTCGTGACTCTCAGAAAATCCGACAGAACTGGATCTTTGATTGGTCATTAAGTAGAAACATCTCACATGGACCAACCAAAGATGCACCTGTTGGTAAACAATGTCCAGACCACACTCCACAGCCAGCAGACAGTTCATTGTTTACATTTCTTTTCTGAGGCTTCTCAGCTAGGAGAAAATAGGATTTTCATAAAAACATCACGGCGACAGCGGGGAGCAGGTAAAGCTGCTGTGGCAGCCCGGGAGATGCTCTGCAGCCGCTCAGCCGTGGCTGGGGCAGCTCTCCTCCCTGTGCCCTGCCCTTGGCAGGCAGGACAGCCCGTGCTCCGGGCAGCCTCTGCTCCCTGCCATGCCAGGATGGAGCAGAGAACCAGGCTGGGGGGATTTGTCCCTGCTCTCAGCAGGATTTGTCATCCAGGTCAGCCTTGGAGCAGCCTGGACTAGTGGAAGGCATCCCTGCCCATCCAGGGGTGGAAGGATGAGCTCTAAGGTCCTTTCCAACCCAAATCAAGCTGGGATTGTCCAACTCTGTCCTCGAGCAGCCACTGCAGGAAAGGAGGTGCCAGCATGGGCAAGCAGGGGAGGAGGGGGTGAAGTGGTGAGGGGCGGGTGGGCACTGCCAGCAAAGGGCTGTGGCTGCTGCAGGAGCCAACAGAGCCAGCATTTGACATCTGACATTTGACATCTGCACGTGTAGAGGTTGTGGCTTGGCAGGTTTTAGGTGAGTTTATGTGGTTTTGGTAATTTTATGTGGTTAAGGGTTGGCAGGTTTTAGGTGATTTTATGTGGTTGTGGGTTGGCAGGTTTTAGGTAATTTTATGTGGTCAAGGTTTGGCAGGTTTTAGGTGATTTTATGTGGTTTTGGTGATTGTATTGTGTTGTGGGTTGGCAGGTTTTAGGTAATTTTATGTGGTCAAGGTTTGGCAGGTTTTAGGTGATTTTATGTGGCTTTGGTAATTTTATGTGGTTGTGGGTTGGCAGGTTTTAGGTGATTTTATGTGGTTGTGGGTTGGCAGGTTTTAGGTAATTGTATGTGGTTATGGGTTAGCAGGTTTTAGGTGATTTTATGTGGTTGTGGGTTGGCAGGTGTCAGGTAATTGTCTGCACCCAGCTCCAGCAGGAGCCTGGGGGCAAGGGGGTGCCATCCTGTGTCCCGCGCTGGGCCCTGGCCCCGCAGGGATCTTGGCACTGTCCCTGTGTGGCACCACAGTCACAGACTGGGCCAGGGCAAATTCCTCCCTGGGTCCTCCCTGCTCCAGCAGGGTCATCCCAAGGCACAGGGCTGTGTCCAGGTGGTTGGGGAATCTCTCCAGCGAGGGTGGCTTGGTCCCTGATAACAAAGTTCTTCCTTAGTAAAGTTCATCCTCCTGTCCAGGTGGGATCTCTGGGCTCGGTCCCTGCCCATCCCCCTTGTGCCATTGCCGTGCCCCGGCAGCAGAGCTTGGACCCTGCTCGGAGCCCTCCCTGCCAGGCAGGGGTGAGGTCCCTTCTCACCCTGAACAGCCCCAGTTCGCTGTCAGGGAGATGCTCCCGTCCTTCATCTCTGTCACCCTCCCTGGCCCCGCTCCGGGATGTCGCTGTCCCCGCTGTGCCGAGGAGCCCAGCGCTGGCCGCAGCAGTCCCGAGGCGCCTCCGGGGCCGAGCGGAGGGTCAGGATGCCCTCTCCGATGCGTTGCCATCGCTCCTCCCGTCGCGTCCCAAGGAATCCCCCCTTGGTGACACGGATGACGTCACCGGCGTCGCCGTCTCCACGGCAACGGGGGGAGCGCCCCGCCACGTGACCGCGCGCGGCGTCACGTGATGCGCGGAGCTGCTTCCGGGTCGATGCGGGACGCGGCGGCCGGGCCTGGGTGAGCGGGGCTGGGGACAGCGGGGACAGGCGACAGCGGGGGCAGCGGAGACCCCCGGCACCGCCCGGGCATCCCCCGAAACCCCCGGGCCCGGCCCCGCCAGCCGCGCGGTGCGGGAGCGCGGAGGCCGCTGTGAGCCGGGGCCAGCCCGAGGCCGTGAGGCAGCTCAGCGACAGCGACAGGGACAGGGACAGGCCGTGTGAGGGGCGGGCAGCGGCCTCGGGGCTGCGCGGCTGGAAGGAGGCGGCTGCGGGCTCGTCCTGCCCCGGGCCCCGCACGGACAGGGGTTTCCAGCGGGGATGGTCGCTGCTGCGGTGGGACAGGGGCACAAGGGACAGCCCGGGTGTCCCCCGGTGCGCTCGGGGCTCCTCAGCACAGTGCTGGCGTGGGGAGCAGACAGCCCTGCTGGGTTTGGTGATGCGGCTGTGACAGTTTCACCTGCGTGGGTGGCTTGTCCTGGTGGCCCAGCGGGCCGGGCTCCCTGCCCTGCTGCAAGGCCTGAGAAATGCTGCTGGGATCTCCCTGCCCGCAGAGGAGCGGTGGGACTGCACCGTCTTCCAGGTCCCCTTCCAACCCAAAGCGTTCTGTGATTCACTCCTCTTCCTCCCGAGAGCATCTCAAAAATAATTTCCCTGAATCATGTCTCGGGAGGACGAGGTTGCAGCTCCTTGCAGGCGGATGTTTGTGCAGTTCATGCCTTCCTGAGGCTTTGTTTTGTGTGTACAAACACATCGCGAGGTGCTTGCTGTGTGACTGTTCAGGATGTGCCCCCAAGGCATTTGAGTGGCACTGGAATTTCATTAGCATGCCGTTAATGATGTCATTCTCCTGAAGGGTCTCTTCTTCTCCTGGAAGGTTCAGGACGCAGGGGATGGAAATGTTTTCCCTGTTGGTTTCAGTGTTCTCCCTTCACCATCAGCTGGGAATGTTTTCCATGCTGGTTTCAGTGTTCTCCCTTCACCATCAGCTGGGAATGTTTTCCATGCTGGTTTCAGTGTTCTCCCTTCACCCATCAGTTGGGAATGTTTTCCGTGCTGGTTTCAGTGTTCTCCCTTCACCCATCAGCTGGGAATGTTTTCCCTGTTGGTTTCAGTGTTCTCCCTTCACCCATCAGCTGCAGCAGCACGCTGGGTTTCCCTGGACTCAATCTCAAGTCAGGGTCGTGCCCCTCTTTCCAGACCCTTCCCAGTGCTGCTTCCAGCCTGGGAATCCCAGCACAGGAAGGATGTGGAGCTGCTGGGAAGAGTCCAGGGGATCAGAGGGGTGGAACAGCTCTGCTGGAAGAGCTGGGGTTGTTTACCTGGAGAGGAGAAGCTTTGGGGTGACCTCATTGTGACTTTCCAGTGCTTGCAGGGAGACAGATGGAGAGGGACTGTTCCCAAGGGCCTGGAGTGACAGGAGAGGGGGGATGGCTTCAGAGTGTCAGAGGGTGGCTTTAGGCTGGATATTGGGGTGAAATTCCTCCCTGTGAGGGTGGGCAGGCCCTGGCACAGGTGCCCAGAGCAGCTGTGGCTGCCCCTGGATCCCTGGGAGTGTCCAAGGCCAGGCTGGATGGGGCTTGAAGCACCCTGAGACAGTGGAAGGTGTTGGAATGGGGGATTGAAATGAGATGATTTTTAAGGTCCCTTCCAACCCAAACCATTTTGGGATTCTTGTCCTTCTTCACCGGGGCCACGGCCCTGCAGCAGAGCACTTAAACATGACAACAAAGGCTCTTTGTTGCCACCTCTCAAAGCCCAAGTGCCTCGTTTGCACTCCGTGCTGTCATTTAGAAAACCCGGAGTTATTTTGAGCCCTGAATTGTCCCTGGTGCTGTCAGCAGGGCCACACTCAGAAACGTGCACCTTGCAGGTCACCCTGTCCTGCCCTTGTGCTGCCAGCATTCCCTTGGAACCTGTCATTCCCTCTGCACATCCTGCTGCCAGGCAATTGTAGGGATTCAGAGAAACCACAGGAGTGACAGATGATTACCTGGAATCCCATGGGAGGGGAGCTGGGAGAGGTGACTGCCCACTCCACAGCATTTTTGTCATCTCAATCTCACAGTGGCACTGGTTTTCAAAAGTAGAGCTCGAGGAAGAAAATGTTGGGGGTTCAAAGCTGTTGGATGTAAATGTCAGTAGTTTTTCTTCTCAGTTCTGGATTGCTCTCACACTGCAGCTGAAAACACCATTTTTTTGCCTCTAAGGTGAGTTTCTCCTGTGGAATTTCCAGCTGATGTTTGTTCAGCAGATAAAGAGGGATGGAGCAGATGGAAAAGCCACCATTTGCCTCTAAGGTGAGTTTCTCCTGTGGAATTTTCAGCTGATGTTTGTTCAGCAGATAAAGAGGGGTGGAAAAGCCACCACGTGAAGGACAGAGGGCTTTATGCACAGGGGAGTTCCAGAATTTCCAGAGCAGGGGGTCTGAATGGGTGTTTGGAAATGTCTGTCTGTGGATGGAGCTGAGCTCCCACACCACTCTGGAACGAGGCCTTTCAGCCTAAAGCCTTGGATCTCAGTGCACACTGCTCCTGTACCATGTGGGGTGGTTTAAGCTAAGATTAAATACCTTGTTCCTATCAAACTCCAGTCTGAGGATTTATTTTTTGATTCTAGATAGAGTAGTGACATGAGTCAAGTTTGAGCTATGAATCAACCAAGCTGTTGAGAGATGAAAATTGTGTTTTGGGGTTTGTTTTTTTTTTTAAGACTAATCCTGTAAGTCCCTATTTGTGACATTTAAACTTTATACAGAATATAAAAATGATGACATGCTTCAGTCAGTTGCTGCTTATTGTACTCAAATCCTTTTGGTTGGTGGGTTTTAGGTAGAAGTGAAGTGGAACTTGTTAAGCAGGTGATTCTCAGCAAAGGGAGCCTTAGTGAAATCACTTTTGTTTAGAATGTTATGTCTACCTTTATGTCCTTGCCTGTAACAAGTCTCAGGGAAAGAAACGGGCAGAAACTTTAATTCAAGATTAGCAACATGGCTTGCAATGAATGTGTGGCCCAAGTCTGAGTTTTTAAAATGTGATTTTGCAGTAATTAGTGGAAAAGCTGCCCTGTGACTAATTGTGCAGTGTAGGACACCTGCACATTCAGGATTGTGATGCTGTGATGGGTAGCAGGCCTAGGAGACCTCTGGAAACAACAATCTTTTCATTCATGAGCCAGGCTCTGCTTTGTTTTGTGTTCCAAACCCATCAAATGCCAGGTTCAGAGAGTGCACAGGGAAACAGGGCAGAGAGAGAGGCTGAGTCCCACCTGGGCAGGGCAGAGCCCAGGCCATAGTGGGGTCCTGGTGCCAAAAACACTCCCAGCTGACTCTCAGTATCTCTCCAGGCAGCTCAGCTGCCTGTGATGAGGCCAGGCCTCCTTCCTGTGCTGCCCTGTGCCATGCCCAGATACGAAGGGCACAGTTATTATCTCCCAGATACATTAGGCAGCTGCAGAATGGAGCTGGCAGAAATTGCCTTTCGGCCTGGCCAAACGGTGTTTGGTGACACAGCAGAAAGGGGAAGTTGGCAAACAGCTGTTGGAGCAATCTCCTGCTCACAAACAGCTGCTTGCTCCTTCCCCTCCTGGCTGCTCTGGAAAGGTGTTTGAGAGGAGCTGTGGATTTCTCACAGTCCTCGTGGGAGGGGCAGAAGTGACAAGTACAGAAGTCACCTTTTGCAGCCTGGAATTGTCCTGGAAGAGCATGTGGGGTAAGGAGGTCTTGAGCTTGGCCTGTAATGCTGTGTCTGTACAGCACCAAACCCTCTGGCTTTGTGTTCTTTTCAAGTAATGTTTTGCTTTAATCTTGAATTTGAAATAGGATGATCTGGAGCTCAGAAATAGAACCTGTGACCCATCTGCTTGCTTCCCCTGTGCTCTCAAGCACGACTATTAGAAGTGAATATAACTTTCTGACTGCTCATGTGCTCTGTTTTTCTCTTCTTTAACCAGAAGTCCAAGAAGGGAGCATGGACCAGCCCAGTGGAAGGAGTTTCATGCAAGTTCTGTGTGAGAAATACAGCCCTGAGAACTTCCCCTACCGCCGTGGGCCTGGCATGGGGGTGCACGTCCCAGCAACTCCCCAGGGCTCACCTATGAAAGGTAAATTCTGATCTCTCTGAGCATCTGGGGGGTGCTGGGAGGAATCAGCTGAAAGAGAAATCACCTTGAATTGCCCAGAAAAAGAACCATCACAATGTTTTTTTTTATTGGAGAGTTGAGACTGGAATCCGACAAAGGGAGAAAGTGACTGAACTGGTTGCTGTAAAAAAAACTGATTTCTCTACAGCATGACAGAATCAGAATTAGAGAACAGAGTAGAATAATTTTGGTTGGAAGGGACCTTCAGGATCACCAGGTTCCAGCCCTGTGGGGGGAAGATGGACCTAAGGCCCTGTGCAGTCTGTGTTTTGAGAGTCCAGCAGTCCTTGGAGCTTTCCTTCAGGCCACTGATCCTATTTTATTATTGGCTGCAGCAGCAGGTGTTTTGGCAGAGGTGGCTTAAAAATACATAAAATATCTAAATTTGAGGTTGGTTCCCATGCCACCAGCTTGCTTTGATGCCTGCAGGGACAGGAGCTCAGTGTACACAGGAGGGGACATATTTCAGGCAGAGAGATGAGTTGTTGAATCTCTGCTTTTGTGCCAAGTGCCTCAGTTGAACTTGCAGTGTACTTTGTCTTCTCGAGGCACCAAATGCTTTGTGACCTAGTGGAGAATTCCCCTCTCCTGTGCTCCTGACCTTGCTGCCTCGAGGGAATTTAGCCAGGTGTGTGTCTGAAGCTCTGTGCTGCTCGTGGATGTCCTTGAGCCTCCCAGACTGCAGAATGTGTGTCACCATCTCCTCTGAACTAGATCCATGTGACACCTTTTAGTCTTCCCTCACGCTCTGATGTCGGCATTTAATTCTTGTTTTGTATGGGTGGGACTGAGATTCACATTGATCCCATCAGAGCTGCCCCTTCTTTGTGTCACACATCCTGCCCATCATCATCTGTAGGAGTGATCCAAACTTCCATCAGGTCAATTTGTGTCATAAGCAGCCCCAAAGGGGAAAATAGCCATGGAAATCGGCTGGATGAAGTTTCCAATAACTGGGTTTGACAGAGGAGAAAAAAGGGCCTGAGTTCAGCTGAGGATACAGCACTCTGAAAATGAACAAGAACAGAAAAATGTCCTGATGGAATGTTCAGTCAGTGCCCTCTCTGCAGGTAAATTTACCTCTCTCCTGCTCACCTGAGCTGTTGGGGTGCTGAAAAGAGGCCACGTCTTAAAACGTGACTGAGACATGACTCATTACAAATACTGCATTAGTAATTCCCAAAGTGCCACACTGTCCTTTAAAGAAACCAAACACTTCTGAGCCAGAAAACTTGGAAAGCCAGATGACTGCAGGTAATTGTTTGCTGCTAGAATCCCTTTCTAGTTGTGCAGCTGTCAAGTGTTAAGGAGAAAAGGGGCCACCTATTTAGGAAAAAGCTTGTGGTTAGATTTTAATGGATTTTCCTGCTCCAGAGAGGTGGGAATCATGTTGTACATGAAGGAGTGTAAGACTGATGGCTTGCCTTGCCTCACCGTGGATTTCTTGTGTGGAAATTGTTTTCTGTTACAAACCCCCAGCTTTTTGTCATGGTTTAGCCTTAGCACAGCAGGCTGTGATTGAGGTCCAGGTTCTTAGTTGATGCTTTGAGTACATTTACCTGCCTGAGGAGGAGCTGGAGCAAAACCAAAGCAGAAATGGAAAGGCAGAGCAGAGACCATTTTTGAATGAATGCTGAATGCTCTACATTGAACCTTGGGAAGGGAAAGCTTAGAAAGGAAATGTTTAAATACCTCCTAGGAAATGTTTAAATGCCTCCTAGGAAATGTTTAAATACCTCCTAAGAAATGTTTAAATACCTCCTGGCTGTTACTAGGCCCAAGTGGGCTCAGGGCAAGAGGATAAGGGAGTCTGACTGGGCAGCTGACACTCCCCTAGTCCTGTGTCCTATCTGCAGCAGCAGCTGCTGGGGAAGAGCAGAAGTTGTGGCAAGGACTGATAGGAGACAAGCCATAAATGACAAAGGACAGGCCTGAAATACACAGAAATACATGGAAGAACTGAAGAGCACTGATAGGAGTGGTACTTCATGTTTACAACCAAGCTTCAGGATGGCGTCAGTTACAAAATCCGTGTTTAACCTGAAATCGGTGTCAGTTCTGACATGACTGGTGGATTTCTCTTGCTGGCTGTAACACCCATGTTTGGGGCTGGGTTCTGTGACTCCAAGGCAGTGCTGAGCAGAGGCAGTTTGTGTTTTTCCCTGTGCCAGACCGCCTGAACCTGCCCAGTGTGCTGGTGCTCAACAGCTGTGGCATCACCTGTGCCGGGGACGAGAACGAGATCGCCGCCTTCTGCGCCCACGTCTTTGAGCTCGACCTCTCTGACAACAAACTGGAAGACTGGCACGAGGTAAAATGGTGATGGGCACCTCACTGGGTACCTTTCACAGCTATTACTGACTGCAAATGCATTGCATTGATGAGAGTTCCATTTTTGTGGCTCTTTTCTCATCTCTGAAGGTGATGTTTATTTACTTTGACAGCAACTGAGCAATACATGTGATGAAATTAATCCAGTGTGGCACTTCACTCCTGGACCTTGTGACTTACAGTCTTGGCCCGTGGGTGAAAAATCTGTATTTTTATTTTATTTCATCATGCAAAGCACTGGAACTGACATTTCTGGCACCAAGAAGTTAACGAGCAGTTTAGTTTTTAACAGAGTGGCAGTTGATTCCCAGCTTTGCCACTGTGATGGTGGGCAAGGTATTTATTCCCTCTCCACATTTGTTGCCTTATCTGCAACACAGATTTAATAATATTTACCACAAAGGGTATTTCTGCAGCCTCATTAATTAATGCTAAATGCTGTTGTAAAATCCTGTGAAGTGCTTGGGTGAAATAATGCTCAATAAATGCAATGTAAGAGGAGTGAAACAATCTCAATTCATTCAAGTGTCATTAAGTTCCTCACTGGATTATGCTGTCCTTTTAGGTTAGTGTTTATTGTTGAAAATGTGTGGGAAAAAACCAGGACATCATGGGGTTTTGTGCCATCAGATTGTCATGTCTTTAAGCAGGGAGGGAAGGCAGTGTTTGCAGTGTCCAGCTCAGTGGGGCTGACCTCACATCTGGTCATGCACTGGTCCCTCACAAGCTGCACATCTCACACCCTGCTCCGTGTTCAGTCTCTTCAGGCTGCCCTAGAACTGAAAGGCTTCTGTGTGTGCTGGCCCCTTCCTCTGAGACAGGATTAAATTTTCACAGCCCATCCACAGCAGATAAATATCTCCCCACCCCTAAAACCTGCCCGTGCTGGGGATTCCAGATCCCTGGTAGCTTGTTCCCATGCTTGGCTAATAACCTCATAGGTTAAACTGTGTAATTTAAGTCTCCTGTGCTGCAATTTCAGCCAATTTCTGCCTGCCCTGTTCTCAGCAGACAGGAGGAGCATCATCACTGCTCCTTATACAACAGCTTTTTATACCCACTAAGAAGAACTTTAATGCCTCCTTTCCCTATTTTAGTATAATACTGAAAAAAAATATCCTTCTTACGATCATCCATCATAAGCCATTTTTTCCTAAATCCTTTTTGGTGGACTGATGTCATCCAGTTTGCCTTCTTAATTCCTGAGGTGCAGCACCCAAACCATGACATCACCTGAAGGAGGCGTGGAGTGAGGCACACCCATTACACACTTGAGTTCATGAGACAGTCCCCCTGTGCCAACAGCTGGGCCATTTATTGACCTCTGTGTGCCATGGTCTGCCCATCTGTGCCCATCCCAGAGCCTTGTGGAGTGGAGCTCTCCAGCCAGCCGTTCTCTGGGCTCTAACTCACAATTATTTTCTGCATTGGTGCCTGCTGGTGTTGGAAGCTCCTTCCCACTCAGTTCCCCAGTCAAGGAGGGAATTGGGGATTGGTTGAGCTCTGTGGGAGCAGTGGGGAGCTGGACAAGTGCTCAGTGCTGGCCGTGGTGGCAGGAGAAGTGTCCATGGCCCCTGTGAGCGAGGGCTGGCTCCTGGAACGTGCAGCTGCTCGGCCTTGGGCTTGAGGTGGATTTATGACCTCTCCCAAGGGACTGCCTTTCTCTTATCAAGCTGCTCCTGGAGTGTAATTAAATGAACTCTTGAGGAGAATGAGCAATTAACCAATCCATCTAGATCAGGAATGGCTGCAGTATGAATTACAGGTAGATATCCCTATGTTTTTCCCTATATCATTGCTTTGTGATGATTCCACAGGGCCCCTTTTAGGAGGTGAGATATTATTGCCAGAGGTCTGATTACTGCCTGATACACATTTCTTTCTTTCTGTTTTTTTTTCTTCCCTCCCCACTTAGGTCAGTAAAATTGTGTCCAACGTCCCCCACTTGGAGTTTCTAAACCTGAGTTCCAACCCTCTCAGTTTGTCCGTTTTAGAGAGAAGTTGCGCTGGGTCTTTCGCTGGCGTCCGCAAACTTGTGCTCAACAACAGCAAAGCTTCCTGGGAAACAGTGCACACCATCCTGCAGGAATTACCTGAGTAAGCCTGGGAGTCTGGGGGTTTACTGCTCTCAGGTCAAGGCTGGGTTATGGAGTCGTGTGGTGAGGGGTGAGGGGGCTGTGAGGATGCAAACATCAGTAGAGAAAAAGGGATGTTTTCCTTTGGGAGTTTGGGAACTCCAGGTGAGTGCTTTAGATTGTCCTAAAAACCAAACTTGGGTGGTGCTGCAAAGCCCAGGCCTTCTCTTCCTCCAAACCTAAATACCAGAGATGGATAGTGACCCCAAAAATGTAGGAGGGTCACACTTCCCTCTGAGTCACTGTGCAGTGAATGGTGCAGGACACCATTTAAATTGGAGGTACCTCTGAGGGTCTGGCCACTTGTCAAGGAATATTTCATCTTGCTTTTCTGTGCTAAGCTGTTGATTTCTGTGGTTTGGTCACGGGCCACCTTGGCATTGTGCTCCCATGAATGTCCTCAGTGGCTTCATTTTGATGACAGATCCCTCTTTGTGTGGCTTTGTGAGCAGAGATGGTGACAACAGAATGTTCTGCATGGCCAACATACACTTCTCTGGGATTGTGAGAGTTCAGTTGTCTGAAACTTAGTGGGACTTAGGATCTGTTCTTTCTTTAATGGGAATCTTTGACAGTGATGTGGGGGAAAAAGTCATCATCAATGTTTTATCAAAACCCCATTTTAAATTAAGCTGAGAGCACTGGCAGCAGGTCCCAGTCACTGTTAGAGCTGGGTTGGTGGCTTGTTGGGCACAGAAGCAGAAGACAACCCCAACCAATCTGTTACACAATACTGGGAGAGACTCAGGGAACAGTTAAAAGGTTTCTTTAATCTCTGAAAATATGGATGGGAGCAGAGCCATAGTTGAAACACTCTATGTGGAGTGCTCAAAGGCCTTCTCTGCACCGAGGTTCTCAGAGCTGTTGTGTTAAAATCACATAAAATTGATGACATGATCCTTTCTTCCCTGTGCAGCTTGGAGGAACTCTTCCTGTGCCTTAATGACTATGAAACAGTGTCTTGTTCTCCAGTTTGCTGTCAGTCTCTCAAGCTACTCCACATAACTGACAATAATCTTCAAGACTGGACTGAAATTCGAAAATTGGGAATTATGTTTCCATCACTGGACACACTTATCCTGGCTAACAACAACCTCACCACCATTGAAGAGTCAGAAGATTCCCTGGCAAGGCTCTTCCCCAACCTAAGATCCATCAACTTGCACAAGTCAGGTGAGAGCCTGGAAGCTGGGATGGGTTTTGTTGCTCGATCAGAGTCTCTCCTCTGTGTGGATGACAAGCAATGAACTTGCCCATCTGTGGGATTTTCCTGCTGCTTTGGGTTGTCAGTCATTATCAAAGGATGAGTCAGGGCAGTGTGGACCAGTTAATCAAAATGAACTGGAAAGGTTTTTTATGTTGGTAGTTTCCCTCTGTTTCCCATCCCTGCCTCAGGTGCTCCTGGCTGGGGAAGGATAAATAAATGTCTGGCAGTGGAGGGGATGAAAGAATCCCATTTTCCCTTTGTTCCCTGTTTTATCTCGGGTAAAATGAGGGCATGTGCAGGTGTGCAGCATGGATCAGGCATCCCCCAGCAGAATCTGTGCTCAGTCATTACAGCCTCACAAGTGATGCTGGCAGCTGCTTTTACACTCCAGCCCCAGAGAATTTTCAGCCAACGCTCCAGAAAAAGAATGAGCAGTTGGAATATTGGGAAGAGCACCTTGTGCTGGCAGAGAAGGAGCTGCAGGGTAGCTCGTGGGGGCTGTGATGTGTTTGTGTATGACACATACACCAGAAATTCATCTGCAGGAGTGCTTCATGCACCAGCAGCTTTTGTTCTTTACAGCTTTATATGCTGTGCAAGTGCTGCTGAAGTGTCAGGCAGGTAGAAGGGACTTTATTAACATGCCCTACAATGTAAGCATCAAGGAATCCCTGTAATAAAAGCTTAACTAGAGGAGGAAAAGCCTGTTAAGCTGCATTTGAAAGCACTGTCTCACCGAGGAACAAGTGCTCTTCTGGTAAGTAGTTTTGCAGTTTTGATGCCAGGTGCTTAAGAAGTGTGGGCTCTGTGTTGCATTTTGATGTTTTGGGAGCTGAAAGTCAAATAGGAATCCCAAGGAGCTTGTTAAAACTTTTTTGGGGGTTTTAAAGAAAGCTGTTGCACTCTGAAGTTCTGGCAGGCGAGGACTCCAAGATGAGTTGTGTTGATCTCACCACACAATCGTGGCTCTGCTGTGCTCAATCCTCAGCTTTGTTTTATTTTGCCCTCTCTGCTTGCTTTGTTATTCCAAATGTCAGGCCTTGAGGGGGCTGAAAATGAGTTAAAACCTTTTTCATTAAATGGCTGGATGGCTTCTGGGACCGTTTCACCATTGGGTTGTGAGCAGAAATGGGACCCAAGGTGGTTGTGTATGTCAGGTAAAGCCATTTGATGGCTGTTTAGTGATGCCTGGAATGAAAGAAGTGCTGGTGACTTCAACACTCTGAAGGCAGCATCCCTTTATAGACACAACATCACTGATGCTGGTCAGTCCCAGCAGTGAGGCCAAAGGCTGAGTGGTCCATAAAAAAGCCATGGAGAGCATCCTTCTACACTTGGAAACAGCACGAGAATTTCAGCTCCTCTGTCTTGTAAGGAAATGTCGATTTTTTTTTAGCAGCACATTGTGAGCAAAAAGCCAACTTCTCAAAGGAGCAGCAGTGACACTCTCCTGTCACATATGTTCTTTGGCTGTGTCTGATTATCTTGGATCCATGGTGTGTTTTCTGTGTTTGTTAACACAAATCTTTCCTCCTGAGCAGGTCTGCATTGCTGGGAAGACATTGACAAGTTAAATTCTTTCCCGAAGCTCGAGGAAGTGAAATTGCTGGGAATTCCTCTGCTGCAGTCTTACACCACCGAGGAACGCAGGAAGCTGCTAATAGCCAGGTCTGTTGGTTTGTTCTGCTCAGCAGAAACATGACAAGGCAAGGAAGGGGTGGGAGCAGGTGATCAGAGGAAGAGGCTGGCAGGAGATGAAGTTCTGTGTGCGTGCAGAAAGATTGGAGCTTGATTTGTTGGGTGGGAGCAGCTCATCAGAGGAAGAGGTTGGTAGGAGATGGAGTTCTGTGTGAATGCAGAAAGATTGGAGCTTCTTTTGTGGAAAAGTCAGAGAAGTGAGAATCTTAAATCTGCTCTGCTTCTCAGGGGATTTTGTGAGGCTCCTACAAATCTGTGCACGTGTGGTGCATATCTGTAGTGAAATGAAAATGCCTCATTTTGGATGTTCTTGAGAAATTACATGGAACATTCCCGCTCTCTCAAAGGGGTCGAGACCTGAGCTTCCTGGCAGGAATTCCCATGGTGTTAAAGCCGAGGCACTTTGATGTGCCAGCCTCTCTGGGCTCCCCTCCTGGCTGACTGTGGCTCTTGGTGTGTGCCTGCAGGTTGCCATCCATCACCAAGCTCAACGGCAGCATCGTGGCCGACGGCGAGCGGGAGGACTCGGAGCGCTTCTTCATCCGCTATTACATGGAGTTCCCCGAGGAGGAGGTCCCCTTCAGGTAGGAATTCTCTGTCCTGCAGGGGACAGCAGGGACAGAAGGGTGTTGACTGGCCAGGTGATGGGAAATATGTGCCAGCTGTTCCATGAAAAAAACATCCCTCACCTTCCTCCGGCCTTGGCTCCTTCAATCTGCTTGGGCTGCAGTTGTTGTGTTCTTGTTGTCTGATGACTTGTGGGGTCACTCCTGAGTCAGATTTGGTCTTAGAAGGGTGTCAAGTGCCATTGAACAACAGGACTGTTCAGTTCATGACCGTCATTGTTTCCTGGCCTCTCCCTCAGCTCCCTTCATAATCCACCTGTGTTTGGGAGTGCCCAAAGCCAGGACACATCGTGCTCTGCACTGCCAGGCCAGGGCATCCAATCCTCTGCACCATCTGGTGTGTAGAATGTGCCTGGCAATGAGAAGCTGTCCCCTCACTTTCAGGCCTGCAAATCACAAGTCTGATGGGTTTTCTTTGCCAAAAAAGTACATCCAATGATCCGTTCATCTTGGTAAACTAATGAACTTGGACAGATGCTGTTCAGTCTGGATCTTTTTGGTGCCAGCATCCACTTACTGCTTCTAATGGGCTGAGGAGGGATCATGGAGCATCAGGCCTCTGCCTTTACCTGCCCTCTGCCCTAAACCCTCACGTGCCTTTGGACAGCAAAGCTTTATTATCCTTTTTTTACTGAAAAGGGGTAGGACAGGAGTGTGTGTGTGACTCTGAGGGCACAGACAGAGGTGGGGACACACTGAAGGTCACAGGTATGGCCTAGTGTGGCTGATAGAGGTGCAAATGGCATCTGCTCAGTGTTTTCCTCTGCTTAGTTCTCATCTAAAATGCCTCTAGTTTTTCTAAAGCACTGGATATGTGACTTGCCAATCCAGTAAGGGGGTGAGAAGGCTGGAATGGGGAATGAGGGCATGGCATTTCGTGTGAATATTAATAAGGTCAGTGATTATAATATTTGTTAAAAGCATGCTGGGGTCAGTTCAGAGTCAGAGAGCACTCATGCAGTCAGGGAGACAAGACAGCTGGTCCTTTTTCTGAGGACAAGTCCTGACTTGTAATTTTAGAGGGCCTTGAAGTGTAAAAATTGAAGGAAATATTGGAAGGGATAACAGCAGAGACAGAGAATGCAGGAGAGAGGAAGGGGAAGGGGAGACTGGGACTGTGAGCTCATGGTGCTGCTCCCAAAAGGGATTAATTTCCATAACATTTCATATTTCTTGTGTTTGGTGGTGACAGAATGTCAGTGATCCATATATTGCTGGGAAGGACACAGTGGGGTACAGCTTTAGGCACCCATGATGCCTAGGACATGGATTTTGGGAACAGGCTGTGTGTTACACATCACCACACACCACTGGGATCGGTTTGCAGGTGGGATCTCATGTAAAAGATTACTGACATCTCACCAATCCTAGAAAACCAGGCTAATTTTGACCAACGTGCCAGCTTTCTGCTAGAAAAATTACCTCCCCCTCGGATTTCTTACCCTTTAAACACTGGTACTGCCTTTTTCATGGTCAATGGCCTCTTTGTCCAAATCCCTTCATCTGTGCAGCGTTTCCAAGAGATTTCTGCAGCTACCAGGGATGGTTGTTCTGTCCTGGAGGACAGAACAGACTCTTTTCTAGTGAGGCTGCAGATGGCTCAGAGTGTCCCCAACGCTGAGTTTCAGTTCCTGGACCCACAATCAGCAGCCCTTGTCCAAAGGGAGAGCTGGCATTTCTTGCAGAAGGATTTTGGGTCTGTTTGTTGCTAAAGCTTCCTCGCTCCCAAATCTGGTGTGGTGGCTCCAAAAGTGGTTTGCAATTAGAAACTAATCAGGACACACATGTTGTGGCTGGGGTCTGACATCTGCATTGCAGTGCTGCCTCGAGCAGAGGGAGAACAACTTGAGCAGGGAAAACTTGCCAGTGGGAGCAGCCCCCCTCCAGACTGGCAAGGTGCAGCCTGTGATAAGCTCTGTCACCAGAGCCCCCCTGCTTGCTGCATTGCTGTCTGCAGCTGGAAGGGATCAGGCAGGCAGGGAAATGGAAGGAACAATTTATCTCAGTGGATGTCGTGGTTACAGGGAGCGCCGGGTGCACAATCCAATATTGGCTGTCTTGTGGAGTGACGTCCTCGTGTCTGGGGGGTTTTAATGAGCCCTCTGCTTGTCTGCTCCACTGTTTATCTGCAGAGTATCACAGACACTTTCAGCCAGGCTCAGGTCTTCAGCAGCCTCAGCGTCTGCCAGGCTGCAAGGGGTGATTAGAAAAGTCTCCAGGGTGCCTATTATTGGGGTCCAAAACATCCATGTACCAGTCTGCCTTGGTCCTGATTGATTTGAGGGCAGCCAGTCACTCACACTCCCCACTTTGTTTGCAGCTCACATTCTTTCACATTCTTTCTTTGCAAAGCTCATTCTGCCCTCCCTCAACACAAGAAAATTTCAGACAGCATTGCTTGACCCACCACATATTTACAGCATGTATTTGGATAATCATGGCTCTCTCATGGTGGTTCTCTCTCTCAGCTTGTCTGAAATTTGTCCCCCTCTTTATCCTCTCCCCACCACCAGCCTAGTTTACTCTTAGTGCATGAATCATGGCAGTAATTTTGGCTGGCCCAGAAGTTGGTTCTGGTCTGCAGCAGCAGAGATGCTGAGAGTTAAAGGGATGTCCCAAAGGGGGCTGAGGGGTTGGAGCAGCAAGAGGTGGGTTCCCCTCTCCCTCTTTCCCATCGGATGCTGCTGCTGGCAAATCCTTCCAGAGAAAGAGAAGCCCTCCCCACTGCTGACACATTGGCTGGCATTTGCTCTGCCTGCAGGTGAGTTAAACATGGGGAGAGTTGATTTTTCTCAGCACTAATGGCTTTCCCAGATAAATGGGGCTGCTCCCACCACCCTGGTGTCTGTGAGAGAAGGGCACCATCCCACCTTTGGACGCTCTGCTGGTGTCCGTGGGACTGGGGAAATCCTAGTGCCTTGTGGCCCTGACCTCAGTGCCCAGCACACAGAGGGGCTGCTGTTCTCCAGGAACATTCCTGCCTCCAGCAGGACTCCCTGGGGTCACACAGCCTGCCAGATCCCATGGCTGCCCCGGGGGCTGTGACACCGCGCCCACCGCATTCAGCTCCGCCTGGGATCGGGAGCACAAAGCGCTTTCTGTGCCGGGGCTCTGAAACGTTACCTGTCCCCAGCAGCTCTCAGCCTTTGTCATCCCAATCCCATTGTGTTTTGTGCTGCCATTCCTCCTCTTTCCCAGCCAGCAGGGAGATCCAGCCTGGCCCGATGGGAGCGATACCAGGGGGGCGGGGGTGACACAGACTTTCCATTGCAGGGACCTTGGGAAGAGCACTCAGAGAACTTGGCTGCAAGGACAAGGTGACAAGTGGAATGTGTGCCTCTGCTAGTAAAACTCCCATCTTGTTTTAGAGCAGGTGTGAAGGATCAGCTGGCAAGAAGTGCCCTGTTTGTTATCAGCTCACAAACTGTGCAGCAGCTCACCTTGTTTTGGTGATCTTGATGATCCTGTGCTCAGTGGAGTGTAACATTTGGGACCTAGCTGGCCTTTTGGAAAACAGCAGGAATGTCTGATGATCAGTTAAGTCGTGAGGCAATAGATACTGGGAATCTAAACTGAAAGCTGTGTCCTTTTTGTGAGCACTGCCTTGGTTCTGGCACTCTTCAGTGAGGTGTTTTCACTGCAGCAGGAGGCGTAGTGAGCACACGTCCTCGCTTTCTTCCAAATCCCACTGCAGCCACGGCTGGGATTTCTGAAACTGTAGGAGCCCAAACTGTGCTGTCAGGAAGCTGTTTTGAGACCAGTCAGCTCGAACATCTCAGGCTGGTGGTCATTTCACCTTCCTCAGCTAGACACTTTTCCCTAGTGAGACACTGAACTCACATCAGTGCCACGGTGCAGCCTGGGGACTGTGGGATAAAGTGACTGGAGTGCTTGGGCTTGCTGGGACTTTCAGCTGGAATCAGGGTCAATGTTGTCTCATGTAGGAACACTCAGACCCAGGAAATGGGCCCTGGCTGTACAACTGGCCATTCTAACTTGTTGAATTTTCCAGGTATCACGAGCTGGTCACCAAGTACGGGAAGCTGGAGCCCTTGGCAGTGGTGGATCTGCGGCCTCAGAGCAGCGCCAAGGTGGAGGTTCACTTCCAGGACAAGGTGGAGGAGATGTCCATCCGCCTCGACCAGACTGTGGCAGAGCTGAAGAAGCACTTAAAAACTGTGGTGCAGCTGTCAACAAGCAACATGCTGCTCTTCTACTTGGACCAGGAAGCTCCTTTTGGTCCCGAGGAGATGAAATACAGCTCGCGGGCGCTGCATTCCTACGGCATCCGGGATGGGGATAAAATTTACGTGGAGCCCAGAATGAAATAGCCTTTTTGCCCACACCCACACGCCCCCACACACCCACACACATGCATTGAGGAGTTTTTTGCAAGGTTTTTATTTCAGTTGGTTGGTTGAGGTTTGGTTGTGTTTCTGTAGCAGGTAATTTCTTAGCCCGGAGGAAGTGCCCTGATCTGAGAACCATGCCCACCATCCACTGCAGGTGACCTTGAGGTGACAATTGACTTCAGGACGTGTGTTTCAGTGTGGGCAATACCTTGATGTTTCCTTTGATGCTCCGGTATACTCGTGATTTGGCATGAATGGTCAGTTGTTCAAGCTAAACGATGCCAGGGTCCATAAGGGAGGAGACAGCTCGGTGCAGAATTTGACCTGTTGTTTTCTTTTCCTGAATTTTTTGGTGTTTTGCTCCACCAGATCTCCCTTTGGCCTAGCTATCCAACTGTGGCTCGAGCTTGCTGTAGTATTTTCTTGCAGCTTGGTGCTGTCTCAACCTTTTCTTGTGCTCGAGTTCACAGGAAAGATCTCCATCAGTATTCTGCTTGATTCAGAGCTCAGGTACTTTAGTGCATCCACTTCACTCCACTGGTTTGCTTTTCTTGTGAGTGCACAACATGGGGGAAAGAAAAAGAACTTCCCAGAAAGAAACTTTCTTTTCAAAGTGCACGCTCTATATCCACTTGATTTTGGGGGGAAAAAAGAGGTTTTGGCTGCTGTACCCATCTCACACGGTGCCTGCAGCCTGTGGGGATAAAGGGTGTGTTGGAAAGCGAATTTTGGGAGGTTGTGGATGAGCGCTGCATTGGAAGGGCTTTTAGAACAACAGGTCAACAAGGCATTCAAGAGCAGCTTCCCCTGTTGTCCATCCTGATGCTGAAGAGATCCTCCGTGCACTTCACCTTGTACCAGTGGGTGCTGCAAGTGGAATGGCTAAAATTCCTCTCCTGGGAGAGAGGAAGAGTCAAGTTGAAGTTTGTGTTTGTTGCTGTTGCACCAGTTCAAACCTAGCACTTTGCCCGGGGCCCCTGGCCAGGGGTCCCTGCGTAGGGTCCGAACTCGGAGGATGTGTTGGCTCGGATCAGCCTCTGGAAAAGGAGGAACAAAGCAGCTGGACTCACCTTGGGTGTTCAGCAGGTTTCACTCTCTCTCTCTCTTGGCTTCCCCCACGCGCCCCTCGTAAGCATCGCGTGCTGCTGCTTCACGTAGTCCCTGTTTTCTACTGCAGAGCAGATTCCCCTGCCTGGTCAGTGAAATCCTCCTTCCTTTTCCTCTCTCTTGTTTCGCTTTCCTGTGTCTTCCCCGCTCCAAGTTCAAGACTTGCCCCATTTCCTGGTTACAAGCAGCTGCTCAGCAGTTTTTGGAGCTGTGCAGCGAGGGCTCTAGTTACACATGAACTCCTGACCTTCATTTTGAAATGCTCCCTTTATCCCCACGTGCACTTTCTTTCCCAGGATGCTTTTTCCCGCATCACCGAGCTCCTTTGGTATTCTTGGAGTTGTGTATTTCTCTTCACATTTTACCTGGATTGTGGGGTGGGATCATTGGGGAGGGAACAAAGTATTATTATCTCATAGTCTTCAGGTTTAGGATTTGGGGATTGTTCAGAGGGGATTAGTTCCTTATCCAAAGCAAGGGTTGAAATGGGAGGATTTAAAACAAGTTACTGATTTGTGCCTCATCCCCCTGCCAAAAATAGCAATTTCTTGGCCCCGTTGAGATGAGCAATAGGGAAGGGAGTGAGATTTTCCACAGGTAGCATAGATTTTCCACAGATCCGTGGTAGCCGTAAACTAAAGAGCAGGGAGATAGTGGCAGTATAACATAAAATGATGCTTTTATAAGCTAGAGCTTTACTGAAGATGTATTTTCCATTTGGGCAGCAAATATAATTTGCTGCCTGATAGCAGAACCCTTAAGCCAACACTTCTGTATGATATATACATACCTACCAATAGGAAAAGTTGTGGTTAATAAGATATTTTGTTATAAAGCAAAGTTTTATGAAGATATGGTTGTTTAATATTAGAAGCCTATTTCAGCCCTTGACCTCCAGTGTGAGTAAGTTTTCCCTGAGTGGCTGCAGAGTCTGAGGCAAGCGACCTATGGGGATGCAAAAGTATCTCTGACCCAATTCTCCAGAGCAGTAATTGCCTCTGTGGGTGTATTTATGGCATTGTACCTGCTATTAGTGAGATGCTGTAACTCTTGACCAACTTCCTCAGCACAATTAAGAGTCTGGGTTTCAGAGAAGGGAATAAACAAAGGCCATTAAAGAATGGAATGGGATGATAAAGAAGGGCCAAGTACGTGCTTTTAAGTTTGTTTGCCCACTAAAAATGGGGTTGTCCATGGAGGGATTGGTGCTGTCACCAGCTCAGAACTGGCAGTAAATCCTGCTTTTATTTGTGACAGACCTGGTGGCAACTGGAAGATGGAAAAAGAGAACACAGAGGGTTAACAGGTGCTGGGGATTTGGTGCTGACACCCAAACCTGCTCCCCTGGTCTGTTCAGGTATGAAATCACCACCCTGCCACTTCTCCAGGGAAAGGTTTTTCTCAAGGCATTCACCTTGTGTGCAGATAGTGGAGCAGTCGTGGGGTAGAAACCAAAAGCCTTGGTTGGCTTCCCAAGGAGAAGGACTCACCCCCAAAACCAGAGAGAGTTTGTGTGTGCAGATGATCAGCTGTGTGAACTGGGACCAAACAGCACTCAAGGATGTGGCAAAATACCCCAAATCCTGGTACCTTGTGGGGAAGGGTCCTGTGTGTGTGCCACCCACCAGGGGACCACGTCTTGGGGAGAGAGGAGAAGGTTCTGAGTGGGGGAGGAGGTTTGGGTGCTGAGTGAGGGTGCAGATGTGGCAGGAGGTTTGATTTAAACCTCTGCCATGTCAGGAGGGGCTGTGTCCAGGCATTGCCAGCGTGTGCCCTCTTCAGCTGAAGGTCCCTGGGTCTGTCACATCCACTTGAGAAAACAAAATAGATGTGCAAGCTTCCCTGGCTGGTGTCCTTCTACCTGAGGGCTGCTTCTGTTGTGTTGTTCCTGCTAGTTCATGCATCAAAGTCTGCCACGGGCAGCCTGCAGAGCAGGCACAGCACCTGCTCCACGAGGACTTGGGTGACAGCTGTATACCAAAGTGTCCCACGGCTCCTGTGCCGAGTTTGAGGCTGTGCTGTGTGGTTTTGGAGATGTTCCTGTTCAATATCCGTGTTTTTGGCCAGATGTTCCAGGCAGATCGCTGTTATGAATATGCACGGGGTGCTGGCTGTCCTCTGCTCGCTGGCTGGGATTTGTAACCTCGTTTTTTGGGAGCTGCAGGCATGCTGGTGGCAGGTGTGACCCGTGGTGGCTTGGGGGACGTGCTGCTGGGGACAGGCTCTCCCTGTGCCCTCTCCTGCTCAGGTCCAGAATCCGACGGAGGAGCTGCAGCTCTGCCTCTCGCTTGCCAGTGAGATCCTGTAGGTTCTGTTCCTGTGCAAGATTTGAGAATGCAAACGAGGTGCTTAAAGCAGCCCAGAGGCTAAAATATGTATTCCTGGCAGCTGTGCCTCCCTCGTTTGGATGTGGCATTTTTGTAGGCAGCAGAGAGACGCCTTCCCCAGAGCAATGTTAGAGGGGCTTCAGCCATCTCGAGCCATTGCCTCTGTGATTGCTTTTCTGCAGCTCCTGGAAACTTCAAATATAATTTAAACATGAAGATCTGTTCTTGCTCCCTGTTAATGTTGCATCCATATGTAATTTCAAAGAAGAAGAACTGTGAGTCCATCTGGTTTTTTATTCTGGTTTCTCTCCCAGGGGATACACCTCCCGCTCCCACAATTTGCCTTTGGTTTGCTCGCAGACTTAGTGGTGGAATTCAGGCCAAAATAGGTCATTGGTTTGGATCAGTTCAATAAACTTATGTAAGTTTTTACACTAAAACCCCCAGTGTCCTGAGCTTTGCACTTTTCTGTCCCCTGAAGCAAAAATATTCCCTGTTGTCACCCCAAAGGTGTGAGTGAAAACTGCTGGGATTTTTTTTGCTGATGGTTTTGTTGTCTGTCCATGAGCTTGAGTACAGCCACCTCACCTGTGCAAGGAGGGGAGAAGTCACTTCCAGGAGAGCTGGAATATCTGTTCCTCCTCTGGACTGTATTTCCCCATGACTGGGACTCATCCCCACTTCCAGGTGAGGAATAAAGCTCGAGCTCACTCTCTCTCCTCAGAAGAGAAAACAAATTTCACCCTCATGGCCTGCACCAAATGACCCTGGGGCAGGCAGGAGGAGAGAGATGCTCCTCTGGATGGGAAATCTTGCTCTTGGGCAAATCCATTGCCAGGGCATCTTCCATGGGCTGTGCCAGGGAGATGGGAATGAGACAAGGCACTGCCTGTGCCAAGGTCAAGCAGACACAGAAGCCCTTGTGGAATCTTTGAATGCTTGTTTTCCCTCAAGGTAAGGCATGGGAGGAAGTTTTCTGCTAGAAGAATTAAGAAAAGAAGAAGTGTTTGGTTGTTCAGCTGCGATGTGTTCAGCTCTGCATGATGGGAACATCTCTGCCAAAAGAAGAGAGGCTGGAAGACAAAATCTTCCCCAAAGAGTCAGTGAGACCTAATCAAACTTCATCAGTATTCACTTGCCCAGACAAACAGGACCAGAGTATTAAACTGACAAAGGAGCAGAGGGAAACCTATTTTCACCAGTTTTCTCTGTGTTGCAAAACAGAATGAGGAGAGTCAATTGATTTTCCTGGAGCTGGTTGTGTTTAAAATGTATGGGAGGGAAGGGAAGAACGGGGATACAGGCTGGAAGTAATCTGCCCTGGAATATCAGTCAGTGCTGATATCCCCCTGCCCTCCTAAAATAGCTGTTGGCTTAGAAAAGGGTAAAAATAAATTTAAAAATGAAAGATTCCTGCTAGCAAGGCCATGCTTGGAGGATGGAGGGAAAGCAAATTTTGGGATTTGCTGTGGAGGCAGCAAGCTGCCTGGTGCCCTGATGTGCTAAGAGAGACTGCTGAGGTAAGAGACAGCTTTTTGGGGGAAACTTGCTGAACACACTGCCAGGAGCACCCAGGGAAAAAAAGTCTGGCAGCTTCTTGCTGGGCTGCTGGCATTCCTGTCTCCTCTCTGTTCCTGACAAAGAGTGGGGAGGACAAGAGGAATTAAGACCTCCTAGCAGGGAAATTAGGGAGTAAAAGGCCCCCACCCCAAATGTCAGAGGGGAAAATCAGCCAAGCTCAGGCTGTTTTCCCAGTGCTGGGGTTGGAGCAGTGCCTGTCTGAGCTGAGCCTTGCTGCAGGATGAAAAATCAGCTCTAAGGTAGCTCTGCTGATGGATCCTTCACCCCCCAGCTGCTGTTCAGCTCTCCCTCTCATCCAACATGGATATGAACCAACTTCAAGCAGTTGAAATCTTTTTTGGGGTACAGATTGGACTCAAATGTAGAGCTGTGGTCAGCCCAGAAGCCAGAGGCAGGGAAAATCCCTGTGGAAACTGCAGCTGTACGAGTGAAAATGATAATAACGCTCACAGCAGTGAAGGTTCCCACCAGCACCAGAGAGGGTGGAAATGGGAACAGCAAGGAAACCTTCTGTGGGCTGGGCTGGGTGAGTTTTTCCTTTTCCACCTGTAAAAAAGCAGGACTTGGATGGCAAAGCAACTCCATTGAAACTTCAGGGCTGTGCCTTTGAACGGCGCTTTAAGCCTAGCACTGTTTAATGCTAATGCTGTAACTTTATATATATGGGCTTTTTCTTTTTTTTCCCCTTTACACAAAGGAGGAAGGGGCTCAATTCTTCTGAGGGTTGGGTTTTCTGTTCCCTGAGCAGCAGAGCTGCGAGCCCAGCTCTGTCTCTCTGGCATTTCCATCTGAATCTGCCTGAAGGGGGTGAGCTTTTGGGGAAGAAAGAGGCTTCTCTCCCTCTCCAGGCCAGAATCTGATCTCCAGATTAGCCTGCTGGTTATCAACAGAGGAGCAACAGTTGTGATTGCAACTCAACACTGCTCCAGTCCTGGAAGAGCGTTGAGGAAAACGGAGTTTTCAATTGGGAGAGCAAAGGACTGAGCCATCGTTTCAGTCATCAGCAATAACTGGCATGGCAGGACGGGCATGCATTCTCCACTGACATAGGATTTCACCCTGCTTTACCAAGACTGGTCTAAAATTCCAGACCTGACTGCTCCTCTAGCCTACAAACAGGTTGGTAATTTTTTTTTTCCATACCTAAAGAATTGTATTTTGGATGGGATGTGTTCAGTAGCACGTTCTTTGCTGTCTGCCCTGCTTTGCTCTTGTCCTTGCACTGCCACAGTCCCCACTGGTCACTCTCTGCTGGTCTCTGCTAATGAGACTCAGATTTACAATCTATACAAAATTCTGCCACTCTCCTCTCACCTTTCCAAGACAGGGAATGTGCTAAAACTTCTCCTTGGTGGAATGAACTTTTCCCCATGGAGAATGTTTTCACGTTGATGTGAGCGAAGATCTTTCCTTCCACTGTGCTCCAAACTCTCTGAGTGATGGGAATGATGTGGGATAAATGATGGGATGTTCCCCCTGTAATCCTGTGCTCTGTGGCATTAGGAGTTGGATCTGTAGATCCACATTTTCCATAAAAACAGATCCATGGGGAGAACACAAAGAGACGCTGGGATTTTAGGGAGATTTTTAAAGCTGGCAAGGTGGGGATGCTGCTGTTGACACCCAGGCTGTACATAATGCACACAGTTGGTGTGGGGAGCTCCCACATCCCTTCCCAGCACTCCTGGAGAATCCCAGACCTTGCTGGGAGCTCTCCCTTAGCGCTGCCCGTGCGGAACGAGCGCAATCGACGGGCGAAGAAATCAAAGCAGGTGTTTCAGCAATATTTTCTATTGGATTAATAACGAGTAACAAATTGCATTAGGCACAGAAGGAATTAGAGCTGGCACGGGATTTCGTTTTCATTTTGTATCTTCACTCTCTCAGTCTCCCATTGATTCCTGCACAAGGAGCTGCCCAGCTGTGTAAATGTTTGTGCTCCCTCCACGCTCATCCAGCCCCCTGAGTGATGGTTGTGGTGGAAGCCAGGGCAGAGGATCAGCTGAAGTTGGAGCCCCTGGACCATGAGAGCTCATCACAGCTCTGCTGCCTGGAGCAGAGCTGCTCCCCCTGGGATCAGCCAGGAGTGGCCATCCCTGCTTTAAGCAGATCAGGAATTGCTCCTGAACAGGAGAATAAGGAGCCCACGGAGAGCTGTGGCTGTTCACAGCTCCCAGACATGAAATGAGCTCTTCCAGGTGTTTCTGGGCTTCCTTTGGCAGTGATTTGCTGTTATCACCAGGTGAGGGACCTCACCTGAAGCTCTGAAATATCCACATGCCAGCAGCAGTCAGGCAGCTTCGGGAATCCCCTCAAGGATGAGTTTTCCTACCAATGTGATGCATGGCTGGGTTTGTCTCCTTCCTGTAGGATGAACAAGAGATCATTTCTGGGAGCCTGGGTGGCCCTTTTGGTGATGACAGCACAGCAGCGAGGTGAGTATCTCCCAGCAGCAAAATATTCCCCAGCTGGGCTGTGCCCAGAGACCCCAGAGGGCTTGGAAAATGACCCCAGAGGGCTTGTAAAACCAGCCCAGAAGGCTTGTAAAACCAGCCCAGACGGCTTGGAAAACCAGCCCAGAGGGCTTGGGGAACACCCCCAGCTCCTTGGCTGGAGCAAGGACAAGAACCAGAGTGTTCCCCATGGGGAGGGAGGGACTGAGAATCCTGAGGGCTGCTTGTGTTTCTAATCTGTATGGCTGTGTGTGCACCTGGAGCATTCCAGAGGAAGCAGGAGTTTGGAAAATCTCTGTGTTAGGGCTGCTGAGCAGGTATGGTAGTGTGGCACAGCTAAAGAGGAACTGAGGAATGTCTCCTGAGCCTCCTGTTTAAAAACAGAATAAAATCCATGTCCTGTACCTGTGCCTTGGCTGTGATAACTCATCAGGTGTGTAACAACTGTGAAATTATTTATTTTACTGCCTGGCAGGAGGAATTCTGCTGTGGCCCTTTGGATATGTCTGTGGAAACAGGGCTGTGGCTTGGACACCATCAATGCCACCTCCCCTGTGTCCAACAGGGCACTCAGGGCACACAAATGTCTTAGGAAATCAGGGTGCCAGTGGGTTAGGCTAGATTTCCTCTTATCTCCCTTTTCCCAGGGATATTTGGAGCCTGGGATGGGTCAGTCAGCGACTCCTTAATGCTCAGCATGGAGCATCCTCAGAGCTGGCATCAAGGAGAGCCCCTTGTGTGTCCATGGGAACACAGAGCAGCCTGGAGCCCCCCAGGAGCCCAGGGCAGGGTCCTGGGGATGGAAGCATGTCCTGAATCCAGGTGAACAGAGCTGCGATTGTTCCAAGCCCGGGGGCTCTGTCATCCCAGATTGAATGTCGTGAGGCTTTCCTGCATCAAAGAGGGGAGAAGGGGGAGGCAAACCCAGAAAAATCCCCGTTTGCTCTGTGAGGAGCTGACTGGAGGAGCAGGACATGAAATGACAGCACAAGTCTGGCTGGGACAAGAAGGGAAAGGGTGCCCTGGGGCCTGAAGTGGCTGCTTGTGCCTCGAGCCGGTGGATTTTAGGCTGGTAAAAAAAGCAGCAGGCTGAAATGTGTCAAAAGCATCTTCTGAAGTACTTTTGGGAGAGACAGCTATGTTCACTGGCAGTGCCTTTTAGCAGGAAAGTGAATTTTGCTGGGAAATGTCGGAGCAGCCGTGACCCCTAAGGCTGTCAGCCACGCCAGGAGCAGGCAGGAGGAAAGGGAGCACTGCCAGGAGCAGGGATGGAGGAAAGGGGGCACTGCCAGGAGCAGGGAAGGAGGAAGGTGGGCACTGCCAGGAGGAGGGAGGAGCAGGCAGGAGTAACGTGGCTCTGGGGGTTGGAATTGGTGCTGTTTGCCCCCCTGAGCACCTGACATGTGGACAGCCAGTCCTGCCCATCCTGGAGCAGGGCATGGACCTGCTGTCCTCCTGTGAAGCCAAGACTTAGGGGGTTTGACTTGGTCACTGTGCCAGGGGAGGAAGAACTGCAGCTGTGGTGCAGCTTGTGGTCACTGTGCTGTGCCCTGGCTAACCTGGATGATGCTTTTCCTCCTGAGCCTGTCCTAAAGGCAGTCCCACAGCCAGCAGCTCTGCCCTGGCTCCAAGCACCCTTTGGCTGCTGATTTTGGGGCTTGGAGCTGTTCTGTGTGAAATCAGGACTGTCCTGACCCTGCCCTCAGGACTCTTCTCCCTCTCCTTGCAGCTCACACCATGGCAAGCCTCTATCCATACTGGCAGAATGACACCAAAACCCCCAAAGTCGATGATGGCAGCTCCCCTGAAATCAAGATCTCTGTGCCATTCATCTTTTTTGGAGCCCCATACAGAAGCATTTATGTAAGTGGAGAAAGCAGATCTTCCCTTCATCCTTTCCCTTGCCATTATTGGCTGCATTTTAAACATGCTCTGCCTGTCACCAGGAACTGGAAGATTTATTAGCAGCTACCTGACAAGTTCTTAGATTTCATGAACTGATAGGTTTTATGATTAAGAAAGTCAAAGGTGTATTTAATGGGATAATGTTCATAGGAAAGGAATCTAAAAGGCAATAAATTTTCTTTGTGGGTGATTAAATGGCACAGCAAAGCGAAGGGCTTGACACAAGGGACATTATTCCTGCTCCATGACAAGAAACAAGAACATGCAGGACCTGCAGGGGGGAAAAGGGGCAGCAGTTTTGTGGGGGGCCCAGACAAGGACAGGCTGCTGCTGCTCCCAGGTGATGGCACAGCAAAAGCCTGGCTAAGGGGACAGCAGGGCTGGGCTGAGAGGGGTCACCTGAGCTCACCTAAACCTTAGACAGGGCCTAAGTCAGCGTGACTGTGCCACATCCCAAGTTTTGTGGTCTCTGTGTGATCAGAAGAGAGGCAAAGCCTCTTCCATTCTCTAGCTGGTGTTTGTGCACAGCAGCACTGGGAAAGCAGAATCCCATTCCAAACCCTTTTCTGGTGGGGATTCCAGCACCCAGGGCAGCAGTGCCATTTGTTGTCCATTCTGTGTAAAAATGTTGTTTTGGGGACCATCTTCAGCAGACTCCAGGGAGGCTGAGGTGGCACCTCCCTGCTCTTGGGCAGCCCCAGGATCAGCCACAGATGACAAAGCCAAAGGCAGTTTTGTCCATGCAGCCACCCGTGTCACCATCACCCATGTCCCTCGGTGCTGCAGGGATGAGCAGTCCCAAAAATTTAGCAATCCCAGGAGCAGTGCCTCAGCAGATTTGGGTGCCACCCTGCTCTGATGGGTGCCTCCCCTGTAGAACCCTATTTTGAAGAATTTTCAGCGTTTTGGGGCTTCCTGCACCAACTCTTGGCCACCATCAGCTGGATGAAGCTGAATCACGCTCGGGCTGCTCACCCTGTCTGTACATAAACCCAAACCCTCTCTCCCCACGCCTCCTGCCAAACCATCCTCTCCGTGCTGACTTATTCACCAAACCACCTTTGCTCAGACGCCGCGGGGGTCTCCACGCAGGTCAACAACAACGGCGTGATCTCCTTCAACGCCCTGGTGAGCCAGTTCACGCCCGAGGCCTTCCCGCTGGCCGACGGCCGCGCCTTCGTGGCGCCCTTCTGGGCCGACGCGCACAACGGCATCCGCGGCGAGATCTACTACAGGGAGAGCACGGAGCCAGAGCTGCTCCGCAGGGCCTCCAGGGACATCCGCAGGCACTTCAGGGACATGGCCTCCTTCTCTGCCCGCTGGCTCTTCATCGTCACCTGGGAGGAGGTGACCTTCTACGGGGGGAGCAGCACGACGCCGGTGAGGGGTTACTCGTGGGTGTAATTTAAATCTTGTCCTGTAAAGAGGGGAGGTTTTGTTTTTGTTTTTTTTTTTTTATGTCTTGTTCCCTCCAAAGAGGGGAATTTTGGGGGTGTATGGAGGTGTTCTTCGTCATCTGTGTGTAAAATTGAGGAGGTGAGGTTCTAAGGGGGAAGCAGCACGATGCTGGTGAGGGGTTCTCATGGGTGTATTTTATGTCTCGTCCTGTAAAGAGGGGAATTTTTTATTTTATGTCTTGTCCCGTCCAAAGAGGGGAATTTTAGGGGTTGATGGAAGTGATCTTCATCATCTCTGAGTAAAATTGAGGAGGTGACATTCTAAAGGGGAAGCAGCACGACACTGGTAAGGGGTTTCTTATGCGTGTATTTTATGTCTCTCCTCTGTAAAGAGGGGAGTTTTTTTATTTTATGTCTTGTCCCCTCCAAAGAGGGGAATTTTGGGGGTGTATGGAGGTGTTCTTCATCATCTGTGTGTGAAATTGAGTGAGACACTTTGTGTTCCTGCTCCCCAGTTCCCTTCTGGGCCAAGGAGCACCATGGTCCTTTCATTTTTCCCCTGAGTCTCGCTCCCTGCTTTGAGATCTCCAGGGAAAGCATCTCCTCCTCAGTATTTGCAGGATCTAAGCAAGGCTCTGACACCAATTAGGACTTTTTGGCTTGATCACAATGCATTTCTTGCATACAAATTCAGATGTTTCTGATGGCAGCTCCCTGCCTGCATGGGAGATTGATCACGCTGATCAGAGTCACACTAATGACTTGGCCATGTCACATGGCCACAAACGTGTGAGCTGTATCTCACAGGAGGGGGATGGCAGTGGGATGTTTGTCAGGGCATGGACAGCTTTTAAATATCTGGTGAATTTGTGAGCTGTGACTGCAGCTGATGCCGGGAGGTCCGTGCTGCACTGCTGGTAGGGGCTGTGCTTGGGGTGAATTAGAATCAGAGCGGTTTGGGTGGGAAAAGTTCACCTCATTCCACCCCCTGCCATGGGCAGGGACACCTTCCTCTAGACCAGGCTGCCCCAAGCCTCAAAAAACCCATTCTTGAACAGCAAGTGAGGGATCCCAGCTATTGTCTGGGTTGTTGAGGATTAGCCTGTGTGCTGTGAGTGCCAAAACCCAGCTTCTCCTGTCTCGAGGAGTTGGCTCTGACAAACAGTTCAGCTCTTTTCCATTCCTTAGAGAAGCTTGAGATTTGATGCATATTTTTTTTGCCAGTCCTGGCAGCACTTGCAGAAAAACCCCACATATATATATATTTATACATATATTTTCAGACAGCAAGCAATATAGAGATTCGTGTATTGCCTGAAGAATTACATTTGCAACACAATGCAATTTATTTTGTTTTAGAGCAGCCTTCCTGCTCAGCAGCTGCCGGGGCTCGGGGTTGGCACAAGGAATAGCACCATGCAACTTAAGCAGGAATTTCATCGCAATGCAGAAAAACTGCAGAAAATTTGGGAATGTGGCCTCAGGGATGCTGCAGTTGCTGCCTGGAGATGTCACCTCAGCAAATAGGTTCATTTTCTGAGGGTTGGACAGAGAGGGTGCTCCATGGCCAGGAGCTCCAAAGAGGGGAATTTTGGGGTTTGATGGAAGTGTTCTTCATGAGGAGAGCCCGGTGAGAGATTCACCTCCTGTCACCCTCCCGGAGGCTCCTGAGCAGAGCAGCGTTTGTTGCTGTGTGGAAAAGCTGCTGTGGCGCTCTCCAAGTGCCACTGCCTTTGTGTATGACATGTTTGTGAACTCCCAGCACGGCAGAGGTGAGCAAGAGGAAACCAGGAGTAGGAGAAAGAATGCCAGGGGAAGGATGAGGAGTGGAAGTGGCTCTGCTTTACTCCCCGCCCTGCCTGCCCTGGTGTGAACTGTGCCATTTGCAGCTGCTCAGAGGCAGCTCTGCCCACACCTCTCTCTCCTGACAGCTCCCAGAGCTCTTCGCCTCCGTGTTCCAGAGTTCTCCTGGCAGGGGCCTCGTTTCCTTGGCAGTGACATCCCCTGTGGCGTGCAGGCAGCCCTGGGCTCCCCTCTGAGGCATCCTCAGAGCAGTGGGTTTGCTCCAAGGGGATGGAACGTAGTGCTAAGTGACCCCCAGCCCTCCCCTTTCCTCCAGCAGCCACCAACTGCTCACAGTGCTCCTGCAGGAGCAGCCTGATGCTTCCCTCTGGGAGATGTTTGGATCCATGGATTTCACCTGGGAATTGTTGCTGTGGCTGCAGTTTCCTCCCCGGTGTGCAGGGTCCAGGTGGCCAGGCTCCAAGGGTTGCTCTGCATTAATTAAAAGAGAAGCAGCCCACACTTGGTGCCCTGCTAAAATCCTGCTTGCTCAGAGGCAGGAGGAGCTGCTCTCAGGGCATGGTCCCAGGGCAGGGATGGGAAGGGCAGGAAATGCAGGGAGCTGAGAGAAGGGACTGACTGAGCTCCCAGTGCCGAGGATCTGCAGGGATGGAGGGGATATCCCAAGGGAAGGAGCTGCTTCTGTCCTTCTGCACAGCCCTAAAAGGGAAGATGGGCTCTTCCCACCTGGATCCTGGCTGGAATGTGGCTGGAGTTTGTGGGTCTGGAAATGCAGAGTCATTTCAAGCGAAAGGAAGAACACGAGCAGAGGATTTAGCAGGTGGGGAGGGGATTTGGCAGCCGGCAAAGTGCAGGATATACATGGCTGGCTTGGATGTAATCCACCCTCGGCAGCGTTGTAGGATATGAATGTGGAAGGGAACCAGGAAAGATAATGAAGGAATGAAGCTAAGACAGGGTAATGGGAGATAACAGATCACAAGCAGCAAATCCTGCCCGCTGCTCCTTCCCCAGCAGCTCATTCTCATGCTGCCATCTATTGGTGCTCCCTTGGATCAGAGATGGTCCTCACATGCTCCCAGGTGGAGGAAAGAGCAGAATGGGAGCTGCTGGAGCAGTGGCAGCTATTTTGGGTATTTTTGGGTCTCATTCCACTTCTACTCCTCACTGTGAGGCTCACCCGGGCCAGACATCAATGTGGCAGAAGGGCAGGAGGAAAGCAGTGCCACCTGTGAAGGTGCCCGTGGTTCCCCACAGGTGAACACGTTCCAGGCTGTCCTGATCACAGACGGGGTGTCATCCTTTGCCTTGTTCAACTACCACGAAATCAGCTGGACCACGGGCACAGCCAGCGGAGGGGACCCCCTCACTGGTCTCGGCGGGGTGATGGCTCAGGTGAGGCTCTTGCTCCCGTATCCCCATCCCTGATGAGCTCTTGGATGACTGCCTATGGCTTTTCCAAAGCATTCATGCTTGCTCAGGCCACCGAGTCCCTCAGCATCCCCAGCACTGGCCTTGCACTCCTTGCTGGGATGAGCACTCCAAAATTTGGTGGTGGCAGCAGTGCCACAGTCAGTCCCTCTGCCTGAGGAAGGGGACACTGCTGCATAAGGAATGTGGGAATCCTGCACCCCCACATTGCTTATTCACTTTATCTCTCCCTGCATTGCTCCTCCACTTTATTTTGGCCACTCAGTTCACACACCCTTAGATCCACATACGTATGTATCTATACAAACATAAATCTGTGAATACACTTCCCTTCTGCTTGTAGTGCCTGTTTAGCTTTTCATTCACATCCAGATTACCTGAAAACAGAAATTTAGACTACCTAAGAACAGAAATCTTCAGAAAGAGCTGTTAAAACTAAAGAAGATGTACTCAGGGGAAACAGAGAAGTGAGGGACACAGCACTGCTTTCCCATTGCCAAATGGGTGATGGAATTTGCTCTCTCTCTGCTTTAGGCTGGCTTCAATGGTGGAAATCTCACCAACTTTTTCAGCATCCCAGGCTCCAGAACCCCAGACATTGTCAATATTGAGGAAACAACCAACGTAAATGTCCCTGGGCGCTGGGCTTTCAAAATAGATGGCAGAGAAATAGACCCGGCCAACGGCTGCAGCCTGAGAGGTAAGGGAGAAATGGCATTGCTTGTCCCCAAATTTTGGGGTGCAGTGTAGCAAAAGGTGATGCTGTTGGGGTGCTGCATGATCTTTGCTTTTGCCAGGGCGTTCCCATGAGCTGCAGCTGCAGGGACAGAAGCACAAGAGAGGGTTCGGTCCTTGCACATCTCTGAGTTCCTGCGATAATTGGTGGCAACAGGAAAGACCCAGAGAGAGCAATTTCCTCCTGCCCATAAATTGGGGAAGCTGATCTTGTGCCATTTCCCTTGTTTGTGCATGAGGAGCAGCAGGCTTTGCAGGCAGGACAAATGTCATGTGTCTGCAGCAGTTACAGGGTCAGTGCCTGTCACTGACAGCGCGGGGCCGTAAAGGGATTAATCGATGCACACACTGGCTGCACAGGGGCTCTGCTGCTGAAAGATTATTGCGCTTCCATTTGGCAAATAAAACTGTCAGGAGCATCCACTGTGCTCCAGGAGTCTTTCCAGCAAGAGAGGATTGTCATTTGCTGACAGACACTGGAGATATGTGGCTTCTTTATGTCCTAGTTTAGGACTACTCGAGGTCCACGAGATCCCAAGGCTCTTGCAGCTCCAGCAGAGTTTTGGGTCCAGCTGCTCCAGCATTTCCCAGCTGCTGACCCCAGGAAGAAAGGCTGGACTTTGCAGAGAAGCTGGAAACCAGTCTCAGCTCTGCAGGTGACAAGAGGAGTGGGAGTAGATCCCACCACTGGATTTAAATTTCACAGTGAATGGCTGATTGCCCTCCATGAGAGGAGATGCAGCACGAGGTTTGGATCCAAACAACACCCCTTTCCCAAATTCCCCACACCAGGACAGTTGGAACGTGGGCCTTGCCAAGAGGAGACATTTGTTGCAATGGAACAAATTTTTTTTATTTGGTAGGAGGCAGGGAAGAGAACAAAAAGTTTAGGAGAGGTAAATCCAGGCAGTGCACGGCAGAAGCCACGCGCCGGAGGAGTGTGAAAAATGGCCAGATGGAGGGGAGAGAAACCCTCACGGGGACTTGCCACCCGTGTTCTCCAGCCTTCTTCCTGCCTCTCCTGTCTCTCACCAGCCAAACCCGCTCCCTCTCTGCTGCTGTCTGGGGCTGTGAGATCACTCAGCACCCTGCTGCGGCTCGTGTGTGGGGTGGAAGTTGCTTATCAACAGCTCTTTGGTGTAGTAACTACTATGAGATCTTCCTGAATGGGAGTAAATTGCTCCTGGGGCTGCTGATGACAGAGTGACTTTTTGACCAGCAGAGTTATGTGAACAGAGGAACTGTGGAAGTAAGAGCAAAGCTGGAGGATGGTGCAAGTGCAGCAAAAATGTTGGAAACTGCCTCCAAATGGGGCTTTTCCTTTGGGAAAACAGCAAAAATGCCTCTTGTGCCCTGCAATACTGAAGAAGAGCCAGAGTGGTGGGTGTCCAAAATGTGTGGAATAACCTTCAAGTTTTCCAGCCTGCGTGTTGCAGCACTGACCCTGGATTTGTGACAGCACTCGCAGCATTCCAGGGACTCGTGGCGTGGGCAGGACTCAAAGAGGATGCACCACACATTAGAAATGAAACTTGGGATTTGTTGAGCAGCTCTTGCTGGGAGTTTGCACAAAGAAAGCAGCTGAGAAGCCCAGCAGCAGGACACGGTGGTGGTGGTCTCCATCACAGGACCAGCAGGCCCCCGAGGGTGCGCTCAGAGCGTGTTTGTGTTTCAAGAAGTGATGTAGCGTGGGTTTTTCCCTTTCTGTCTTTCTAGGACAGTTTCTCCGTCAAGGGGAGATCTTTTGGGACAACGCCAACTGCACCACCAAGTGCCGCTGCCTGGACTTCAACAATGAGATCCTGTGCCAGGACATGGCTTGTGGCCCCTTCGAGGCGTGTGAGACGAAGACCAAATTCTTCCAGTGCGTGCCGGTGGAGAGCAGCACCTGCGTGGTGTTCGGAGATCCACATTACCACACCTTCGACGGCTTCCTCTTTCACTTCCAGGGTTCCTGCTCCTACCTCCTCGCCAGGCAGTGCTGGCCAGGCTCCCAGCTGCCCTACTTCAACGTGGAGGCCAAGAATGAGAACCGAGGCGGCTCCTCCGTCTCCTGGCTGAGGGATATTTATGTGGAGGTCTACTCGCACAAGATTGTTCTCCCCAAGGGCGGATTTGGGAAGGCGAAGGTAAGAGCTCTGCTGGAAGGGGAGAACTTGCCAGGTCAGCTCCTCTGAGGTGGCAGCAGCCTGCAGAGTGTGGGATGGCACTTGTGGGCCTCGTGTGTCCTGGGGAATGGGCACGGGTGGCACGAAGGGCCTGTAGCTTACCAATGGCTGTCCCTCTGTGCATGTCCCTCCCCCAAGACCCCACAACAGGGCTATCCTGTCTGTGTCCCAGCGCGAGGGCTCTGCTGTTCCACGCGCTGGCTCAGCCGCCGGGTGTTGTCCCCGCAGGTGGACGACCTGGTGGTGTCCCTGCCCATCTCCTTGGAACTGGGTGCAATCAAGGTCTACCAAAGCGGGCTGTCCACTGCCCTGGAGACTGACTTTGGCCTGCTGGTGACCTACGATGGACAGCACTACGCCTCCGTGTCCGTGCCGGGCTCGTACATCAACGCCACGTGCGGGCTGTGCGGCAATTACAACAAAGACCCCGAGGACGACGTCCTGCGCTCGGATGGGAGGGTGGCCACGTCCGTGCCAGACCTGGGCGAGAGCTGGCAGGTGCCACATCCCGAGCGCAGGTGCTCCACGGGCTGCCTGGAGAACTGCAGCCTCTGTGACCCCGCCACCGAGGCGCTGTATTTCACCCCTGAGTACTGCGGCTTCATCAACAAGAGCGGGGGGCCCCTCTGGGAGTGTGGCTCTGTCGTGGATCCCACTGCCTTCATCCACAGCTGTGTCTACGACCTCTGCAGCGCCAAGGACAATGGCACCGGGCTGTGCCAGGCCATCCAGGCATATGCCACCGTGTGCCAGGCCCTGGGCATCTCGGTGGGAGAGTGGAGGAGCCAGACGGGATGTGGTGAGTGTTTGGGAGGAGGGGAGCAATGCCAGGGGTGTGCCCAGGAGTGTGTGACAGGATGGGGAGGAAATCCAAGGGAGGGGATTGCCTGAAATGGAGTTGGGAGGGAACTGATTGGTCTGTCCTCTCCATGGCATCACACCCTTGCTCCAGCAAAAGTGTGACACAAGTCAGGCATGAGCTGGGAGCTCCACCTTGCTCTGGAGGTCATCTGCTGCCATGAGGAGAGTTGGAGGCTGGACTGGAATGGGAACTGGTTGGTCAGTCCACAATCCATGTTACCTTAAATAGCTGTGGGCGACTCAGTGGTTCTGGAGCTATTTTGGAGAAGCCCAGGACTGGCCAAGGAGGCCTGTGTGGGAAATGGAGGGGCCAGCCCTACCACTGAGGGGTTCCTGGGTCTGTGTTGTCTCTGCTGAGGTCAGTGAGAGGGTGGCACTAACTGAACTGTGCTGTAACATGGCCCTTCTGTTTGTCACCCCTCTGCGCCCACAGCGGCGGCCGTGCAGTGCCCGGAGCTCAGCCAGTACTCCGTGTGTGCCACCAGCTGCCCTGCCACCTGCTCAGACCTCACGGCCCCGCTGGCCTGCACCACCCCCTGCACTGAGAGCTGCGAGTGCCCCGAGGGCCATGTCCTCAGCGCCGACCGCTGCGTGCCCGTCCAGGGCTGCGGCTGTGACGTGAACGGCCGCTACTACACCGTCGGGGAGTCCTTCTGGGCATCACCAGACTGCACTGTGCAGTGCCACTGCGAGGCTGGCGGGGAGGCCAGGTGCTTCAACACCACCTGCCCCGAGGGAGAGATCTGCACCATCGAGAACGGCTACCGGGGGTGCTACCCAAAGCGGGAGACCGTGTGTTTGGTGGGGCAGGACCAGGTGCTGCAGACCTTTGATGGCATCACCTTCCCCTACCCGCTGGAACAGTCCTACACGCTGCTCAAGACCTGCCCAGAGAGACCAGACTTCATTGAGGTGGACATCAACCAGAAGAAGGTTGGCTCTGCTCCCAATGGGCCGCGCGTTGTGCGGGTCCAGGCGGCCGGCCAAGAGGTGAAGATTGGAGGCACCAGGCTGTCAGACATTAAGGTAAAGGTGCTGCCCAGGGACAGGGTGGGAGGTGGTGGCTTGTGGTGTGATCCAGTGGAGATTATGGGTCTGTGGCTGTGGACACCACAGGAATACTTGAACCGTCATGTGGAGGCCCTTTGGGTGCCTGTGAAGTTGTTGCCACAGCACTACTCTCATTGTCTGAGGAGGCTTTCCCACCTCCTCCTTCTCCTACAACTTGCTTTTCCCCTGGAAGAAAAATTGCTTTTTGTGGGGCAAAACCCAAAGATACATCTGTATGCCCTCACTCAGAGGAGGCTCTGGGCCTTGGAGGGTGGGTCTGGGTCAGGAAATGTTTAATGTGCACAGTGTGGTTGGGCAAAGCCACATCACCCTCCCTGAAGCCTCTCCACCTTGTTCCTTGTAGGTGAATGGTTATGATGTGGAGCTGCCCTATTTCCACCACTCTGGGCGCCTGGAAATCTACCGGACTGACAACAGCACCGTGATGGAGTCTGAGGGGCTCCTGGCCATCAGCTACTATGACTCCGGCCTCCTGGAGATCCGCCTCTCCACCTCCTACTTCAACTGCACCGGGGGCCTCTGCGGCCTCTTCAACGACAACGCCACCGACGAGTTCTGCCTGCCCAAGGGCAAGTTCACGGACAACCTGGAGCTCTTCCTGGAGAGCTGGACCACCTTCGACGAGATCTGCAACGGCGAGTGCGGGGACCTGCTCATGGCTTGCAACAACGACTCGGAGCTGCTCAAGTCCTACAGGAGCCGCTCCAGCTGCGGCATCATCAACGACCCCACCAACAGCTCCTTCCTGGAGTGCCACAGCGTGGTCAATGTCTCGGCCTACTACAGGACGTGCCTCTTCCGCCTGTGCCAGAGCGGCGGCAACGTGTCAGAGCTGTGTGACTCGGTGGCACGCTACGCCAGCGCCTGCAAGAACGCCGACGTGGACATCGGCCAGTGGAGGAGCCACAGCTTCTGCCGTGAGTCCACCGAAGCTCTTCATCACCCAGGGTGGGGAGAAGGGAGTTTGGAACACACCAAACCCAGGCAGAGTCTTTTTGGTGGGGATCTGTGGGCGTGCAGAGGCAGAGCAGCTTTTCGTGTGTGATGCTGGAATCACAGGTAGTGATTTCTGGTGCCAGCAGAGGGAGATTTCCCAGGGAAGCGGTTTCAGGGTGGCATTTCAGGAGGCAGCAGAAGTTTTATGGTGCACAGTAGGAGCATTCTGGAGCTGCAGATGGTGTCTGGCGGTGCTGTACGCCACCACCAGAGGATAATTTGAATAACACTGAGTTTTAGCTGTTGCTGTAAACTTGCCATGGATGGGAGAACATTCATAACTCATAAGCAAATATGAAAAATCCCCAGTGTGGAAGTAGATGGTGGGAAGGCTGTGCCTGTCTCTGCCTCAGAGGTTTCAGGGAGGTGTTTGTTTGGGAAATAACAGCAGGAGTTGATGTTTGGCACATGGCAGGACAGGGTTGAGATGTGAGGGGGGGTGATGGCTGATAGGAGAAGGGGTTGCAAAGGGAATAGGATGAGCCAGTAGCCACAAGATGCTGAGACTGTTTCCCCTTTTCCCCTGAATCCATCACCACCCACCTCTTGCCTGTTCCTCACCCCGTGCTGTCGGAGCTGGGGGCTCAGGCTCTGTGTTTGCCAACCCTGCAGCTCTCTCCTGCCCGGAGAACAGCCACTTTGAGGAGTGCATGAGCTGCGTGGAGACCTGCGAAAGCCTGGCCTCGGGCCCCGTGTGCAAGGACACCTGCTCGGAGGGCTGCCAGTGCGACGAGGGCTTCGCCCTGCGCGGCACCCGCTGCATCCCCCGCCGCGAGTGCGGCTGCAGCTTCGAGGGCCGGCAACTGGCCACCAACCAGACCTTCTGGATGGACATCTCCTGCCACTTCCTGTGCTACTGCAACGGCTCGGACAACAGCGTGTACTGCGAGAATGTGTCCTGCAAGGACGACGAGTATTGCCTGGAGGAGAATGGCCTCTACTACTGCCACGTCCGCACCGATGCCTCCTGCATCATCTCGGGCTATGGGCACTACCTGACTTTTGATGGCTACTCCTTCGACTTCCAGAGCAGCTGTGAGCTGGTGCTGTGCACCACCATCTCCCGGCCCAGGGTGGAGCGCTCGGACACGTTCCCAGCGTTCACTGTCACGGCCAAGAACGAGGATCGGGACACCTCTCTGGCCCTGTGGGTGAAGCAGGTGGAAGTGGAGGTCTTTAATTACAAGATCGTCATCCACCGTGCCTACAAGTACACTGTGCTGGTGAGTGCAGGGCCATGAAGACTCTGATTATTTCTGCAGGAGTAAAACCCTAGACATGAGGCTTTAGGGCTTACAAGGTTTTCTGGGGGTCAGGTCATGCCTTGGGCTCATCCTAGGGTGCTGCCAGGCACAACTTTTGGAGAGGATTTCTGTTTTGGCTGCAGAGGCAAGATCAGCAGGGACCTTTCTCTGGGAATGCCCAGCCGCCCTCATTTGAGTCTTTCTGTAGAAGCTCCCACCATCATGCCCCCTCACAATTTTTGCCTTGTTCCCTCCCTGCAGATCAACGACGAGCGTCTCTACCTGCCCCTGAAGCTGGGCCAGGGCAAAGTGAACATCTTTGCCTTCGGTTTCCACATCGTGGTGGAGACTGACTTCGGGCTGAAGGTGGTGTACGACTGGAAGACCTTCCTGTCTGTCACCATCCCACGGGGCTTCCAAAACCTCACCTATGGCCTCTGTGGCCGCTACAACGGCAACCCCGAGGACGACCTGGTGGCCGCAGGGGGGACACTGGCCACCAGCATCAGCGACTTTGTGCAGAGCTGGGCCAAGCGGGATGCGTTCTGCCGCGTGGGCTGCGGCGACCGCTGCCCGGCCTGCGGCAAGGTGGAAGGATTCTGGAAGCCCCAGCAGCTCTGCAGCCTCATCCCCAGCCAAAGTGGGGTCTTTGCCAAGTGTCACAGCAAGATCAACCCCAGCTTCTTCTACAAGAACTGCCTCTTTGACACCTGTGTGGATGGGGGGGCCATGCAGACAGCCTGCAGCTGGCTGCAGAACTATGCCAGCACCTGCCAGACTCAGGGCATTGCCATCACTGGCTGGAGGAACTTCACCTCATGCTGTAAGTGCCACCCTGCCTCCAGGTCCTTCTTTTCCTGGGGTGCCAGGGAGTGGGAGGCCAATGGCCTGGCAGCCAATCCCTCCCATGCTTGCTGGGTGAGGTGGGTGAAGTCTGGGACATTCTATTCTCCTAGAGTTGTCACAAACTGCATGTGGTGCAGCAGGAGCAGGGATGGAAAAGGGGAAGTCTCAAGGTCAGAAGGTATAGGGATGAAAAGGGTAAGCCTCAGGCTCAGAAGGGACATACATGGAAAATAAAAAGCCCCAAGTTAAAAGGGACAGGGATGGAAAATAGAAAGCCTCAAGCTCAGAAGGCATCAGCCATCCCCCCACTGTTAACCAGGGATTATATCAGTCAGCCTCAATGCCAGCAGTGCGTGTTTGCTCTAATGAAGCTGCAGCCCCTTGTCAATAAGATGACGATGTGCTGTTCAATCAGGCTCCTGAGGATGGGCACCGTACGCATCCCTGGCAGCCAATCTGTCTGGCAAATCAGATGGGAAGTAATTGTCCTGCTAACGAGACTGAAAATTAAATTTGTGTCGTTTTTCCCTTCTAACAAGCAAGCTCATGGCTCAGGGGCCCTGTTCTCACAGGGTGGTGAAGCCACAGACTGGCACCATGCATGACAGGTCTGAATCAATCCCTGGTGGGGAGCCAGGTTGGTGGTGTCCATGGAGCTAATCTGTGTTGGTTTTGTCCCCTGCTCAGCTGTCAGCTGTCCCCCCAACAGCCACTACGAGAGCTGCGTGTCCCTGTGCCAGCCCCGATGTGCTGCCATCCGGCTGAAGAGCGACTGCAGCCACTACTGCGTGGAGGGCTGCCAGTGTGACCCTGGCTATGTCCTCAATGGCAAGAGCTGCATCCTGCCCCACAACTGTGGCTGCTACTCTGATGGCAAATACTATGAGGTATGCAGCTCTTGGGGCCTGCTCCCTCCCTCTGGATGATATTTCTGGGCAGAGTTTGAGTGGGGATGACAGTCAGGCTAGGCTGGTAGCAGATCTAGAGAGGAGAGGGATGTCCTTCCATGGTGTGCTGCATAGGGGGTCTTTCTATCAAAAAAAACATCATGCAGTTGTTGGGTGAAGGTGATCTAGGTGTCAAGCACAGGAAGGAGCAGGTGGAGGTGGGATGGAGAGAAGGTGGTGACTGGGAAGACTGTTTGATGAGTGCCAAAGTCCAGTATTTTACACAGGTGGAGGTGGGATGGAGAGAAGGTGGTGACTGGGAAGACTGATGAGTGCCAAAGTCCAGTATTTTATGATCACATTGTGCTAGGTATTCACACATCGTAGATTTAGTATTTGACATGAAAGTTGCTTTTTTTGTAGCTACTGGATGTCACTGAGGAGTTTGAAGCAGCAAAGTGCTGTGCTGATAGCACTGGTCATATCATAGCTGCTTGTATTTTGTGTCAGTGCAACTGTCCTGTGTAAGGTGCCTTTGCTCCTTGAGGAGCCAGTATTGGTGTAGTGTCATATGGGCTTCCTTGCAGATGGGTCGGTGGCTGGCAGAATGCAAGAAAGAGGCTAAGGGGGTATTAAACACTGTGGCTTTGTGTGTGCACAAGAGGTGAGGGAGGTTTTGGTGGCAGTGTGGGTAGCAGAGATGTTGCAAGGTAGGTGCAAGCTACCAGCATGTTCTTTGCACCCTTTCCTCTGCCCTTGTTTCCTGCTCTTGCTTGTCGTGTGACAGAGGGGTGCAAGCCTTGCCCAGACACCCTCTGGGCTGAAGGGCAGCCAGTGACGGTCCCTCTCTCAGCCCAAGCAGCTCTTCTGGAGCGGGGACTGCACGCGGCGGTGCCGCTGCTTCCGGCGCAACCTGATCCAGTGCGACCCCCGGCACTGCAAGTCTGACGAGGAGTGCGCGCTGCGCAACGGCGTCCGCGGCTGCTTCAGCACCCGCAGCTCCTTCTGCCTGGCGGCCGGCGGCGGCGTCTTCCGCACCTTCGACGGCGCCTTCCTCCGCTTCCCCGCCAACTGCGCCTTCGTCCTCTCCACCATCTGCCAGAAGCTGCCCGACTTCTCCTTCCAGCTCATCATCAACTTCGACAAGTGGTCCTCGCCCAACCTCACCATCATCTCCCCCGTGTACTTCTACATCAACGAGGAGCAGATCCTCATCAGCGACAGGAACACTGTCAAGGTGAGGTCTTGTCAGGGGTGGCCAGCCCCTCCAGAGTGGGGCTGGGAAGGGATAATGGGTGACAGTCCAGGCTGCACAATGGTCTGCACAAAGATCCCAGACTACTGTCAATGTTTTCACAGATGGGGTAGTGGGAAGCAGCTGTGGAATCTTTTATGAGTGGCTCACGCCCACATCTGTAGGCAGAGATATGGGAGGGACATCAGCTCTGTGTCCTTCTCTCACGCTAGGTGAACGGAAGCCTCGTGAGCATCCCCTTCGTCACGGGGCTGTCCACCAAGATCTTCAGCCAGGAGGGCTTCCTGGTCATCGACTCCAGCCCTGACATCCAGATCCGCTACAACGGCTTCAACGTCATCAAAATCACCATCGGGGAGCGGCTGCAGAACAAGGTGTGCGGCCTCTGCGGCAACTTCAACGGCGACCGCACCGACGACTACGCCACGCTGCGGGGCAAGCCGGCCGTCAGCAGCGTGGTGCTGGCGCAGAGCTGGAAAACCAACGGCATGCAGAAGAGGTGAGTGGACAGCCAGCCCTTTCCCACCAGGTGGGAGTGGGAATGGGAGCAGGGCTGGCCGTGAAAGGAGCCCCCACCACATGTCCGGTGCCCACAGCTGCAACGAGCTGCAGTACTCGCAATACGCCGCCTCCTGCGACAACGTCCAGATCCAGGAGCTGCAGAGTGACAGCTACTGCCTGAAGCTGACCGACATGAAAGGCTTCTTCCAGCCCTGCTACGGCCTCCTGGACCCACTGCCCTTTTATGAGTCCTGCTTTCTGGATGGCTGCTACAACCACAAGAAGGTCCAGCTGTGCGGCTCGCTGGCTGCCTACGGAGAGGCCTGCCGGACCTTCGGCATCCTGGGCACCGACTGGATCGAGAAGGAGAATTGCTGTAAGAGAACTGGGGCTGCTCAGGTCGAGGGGAGCTGTGTCCCACAGGGGAGAGGGGCTAGAGGTGGCTGCCTCATGGTCTGAGGGTAAAGGTTGTGTTTGTGCTGTGTCTTGTGCTGTTTAGCAGGAGTGGTGGAAGATCCCTGCGTGGGCGCCGACTGCCCCAACCGCACCTGCGAGCTGGACAACGGCGGGGAGCTGTGCGGCTGCATCGAGCCCCCGCCCTATGGGAACAGTGAGTCCTCTGCTCCTGGCCCTATGGGAACAGTGAGTCCTCTGCTCCTGGCTGTGGGGTCAGTGCCGAGCTCCACCTTGGGCCATTATGCCACAGGCGCTTTGGGAAGGGATGTCCTGAGGGCTGTGACCTCTGCCAAGATGGGTTTTCCTGACCGTGCACAGTTCAGGAGGGGAGCAGAGAGCAGGGAATAGCTTTTCTGGGGTGCACATTGTGAGCATCTCTGGTTTGGGAGCACTTTGAGCAGCAGGGGTGTAGGATGAGCAGAGCACACCACAGGAGATGATCCCAGCCCATTTTTGGTGGTGGAAAGAGGTGCCAAGGGTCATTTGTGGTGATCTGAAGTTGTGTCATCTTTTCCTCAGCTACCCATGACATCATTGATGCGGAGGTGACTTGCAAGGCTGCCCAAATGGAGGTGTCCATTTCAAAGTGCAAGCTGTTCCAGCTGGGCTTTGAGCGTGAGGGCGTGCGGGTCAACGACCGCCACTGCCCTGGCATTGAAGGGGAGGACTTTATCTCCTTCCAGATCAACAACACCAAAGGCAACTGTGGCAACTTGGTGCAGGTGAGCTGGGACATGGGACACGCAGGGCTGGGAGTGTGGGACAGTCCACTGCAGTCCAGCTCAACTCCAGGGTCGGGACAGGTCAGTGCAAGTGGTGCTTGGAAGGTGCTTTAATGAGCTGGGGGTCAAGGAGAACATAGGAAGCTTTTGTAGAGTAAGGATGCAATTCCAAACCCCACCATTCCATACCCTTTCTGGCCAGAGGTGGAGGGGCAGCAGGTCCCTTGTCACACAGCTCATTTAGAGGTGCTCATTAGGAGCAGGGAAGCAGGGACAGCTGGAATTAAGCAATGCCCTGTGTTCCCTCTGCAGTCCAACAGCACTCACATAGTGTACAAGAACACGGTGTGGATCGAGAGTGCCAACAACACGGGCAACATCATCACCCGGGACAGGACCATCAATGTGGAGTTCTCCTGTGCCTATGAGCTGGACATCAAGATCTCCCTGGATTCAGTCGTGCGGCCGATGCTCAGGTAGGAGCAGGGCCTGTTACACAGATGGGTGAGGCAGTGATGGTTCTGAAGCAAGGTAATAATTTGGGGCTTCAAAACCTTTTCACCGAGCCAGTGTTTCTTTGTCATCATTAGCGTGATTAACCTGACGGTGCCGACACAGGAAGGGAGCTTCACCACCAAGATGGCCCTGTACAAGAACTCGTCCTACAAGCACCCATACCGGCAGGGCGAGGTGGTGCTCACCACCCGGGACGTGCTCTACGTGGGGGTCTTTGTGGTGGGGGCCGACTCCAACCACTTGATCCTGATGCTGAACAAGTGCTACGCCACCCCCTCGCGGGACAGCAACGACAAACTGCGCTACTTCATCATCGAGGGAGGGTGAGCTACCACGAGCCCCGGTGGTTTTCATGGTGTCTGGAAAGGTGGTGGCATCGGACAAGGGCCTTTAGGCCAGTGGGATGGTTGATCAAAATCTGGAAAGGGTGAGGAGCAGTGTTGTTAGAGCAGGAGTTAATTTGCTTGGTGTTGACACAGCCAGAAGCCCTGCGTGTGACAGAGTACCAGGTGCAGAGAGAAGCACTCTCCTTGTGTCCATGATGCTGTGGACGACACCTAACTACAGGAGAAGGGGGAGGGATATGGATCATGCACAGGCATTTTGGGAAGTTGGAAATGCCAGAGAGAGGTGACAGAGGCAGGGCATGATACCCTTGTCCAGACAAGCCATGGCAGGGTCTAAGCACCCCACTGTGGGACCTGGGGTGAGGGACCTTATGGGGACAGGGAGGGTTCCAGTCACAGGAGGGTGGTGCTCAGCATCAGTGCTTTGCACAGGTGCCAAAACATGAAGGACAACACCATTGGCATAGAGGAGAACGGAGTGTCCCTGACGTGTCGCTTCCACGTCACCGTCTTCAAGTTCATCGGGGACTACGACGAGGTTCACCTGCACTGCGCCGTGTCCCTCTGCGACTCCGAGAAATACTCCTGCAAAATCGTGAGTGGGGCGAGTGCAGAGGGAGGGGATGCTTGATTTGAAGGGCTCTTCCAGTGTGCAGTGAGCCCTGATGATGTGGCATCGAAGAGGTGACCAGAGGTGTAGCCCTAGGGGTGAGATGGGAGGGTTGTGTGTCCCTCTGGCATGGGGAGGAGATGCTCTGTCACAGGCAGGTCACCTTGGGACCTGTGCTCTCTGAGCCTGGTTGCAGGGTCCCTCTGGGAGCTGGGACGGGCGGAGGGGCACAGAGGGGACCTGGGCAGAGCTGAGGGTGACAGAGGTGGTGTTTATCCCCAAACAGAACTGCCCTCAGCACACAAGGATGGCCAGCGCCTTTGCTGAGGAGTCCAAGGAGCAGATCCTCTCAGTGGGGCCTATCCGGAGGAAGCGTAAGTGTGGGACCCCAGGGACGGCTGGGGAGTTTGTCTGCCATCCCAGCCTCAGGCAGACAAGGATCAGGGATTGGGAGCATGGCTCAGGTGTCCCCCTTTGCTGTTTGTGTCCAGGATCAGACTGGTGCGAGGACAACGGAGGCTGTGAGCAGATCTGCACGAGCCGGGCGGACGGGCCTTTGTGCAGCTGTGTGACAGGGACACTGCAAGGGGACGGCAAGAGCTGCAGGGGCAAGTACCGGGGTCGGGGTGGGCACAGCAGGGAACTGCCACCCCCAAACCGAGGGGCTGTGGGGTGAGCAGCATGGGGAAAGGGGCTGCGACTTGTGGTGTGTTGCAGACAGAAGGGGTGTGGAGGGCAGGGAGCCAGATGTGCCCTGTCCCTGTCACCTGAGGGCTGTGAGGGCACTGCTGGCGGGTTCTGAAGAGCTGGCAGGCAGCTGCAAGGGAGGTGATGGTGCCTGCATGGTACAGGGCAGGGTAGAGTAAATGCAGTGGCCTGGGAGCCCAGCAGTGAGGTCGGGCATTTGGGTGGGCACCAGCCTGGCACGATTTGAAGGGAATCTGGAAGGGAGGCACCCAGAGCCCCAGCTTACGTGGATCTTGTTGTGTTGGCAGCCTCCAGCTCTTCAGGGGAGCACCGTGCCCGAGTGACCCTCCTGCTGGCGGCCCAGCTGTGGCTGTGGCTGCGCTCAGCTCCGCGGCCCCTGACCTCGTAGGCGCGGCCCCGCCGCCCAGCCAAAAACTGTTCTCGCGTCAGCCTGAGTCTTTGTAGGGTAGGAGACAGTCCCCCCACCGTGGCCACGCTGCTGCCCACCCGGCCATGCTGCGAGGAGGCAAAGGGATGTCACCTGAGAGAGGTGGGACGCGGACCCGGCGGTGACGTGCAGCCGGCACAGCGGCAGCGACGGCGAGACTGAGCGGGATGTTTGCCAGCAGCGATGTGGGACTGGGGTTTGGGGGTTTTTTTTACAGCTTTCCATCACTGATGTGGACTCAAGGAGGGGTTTTGCAGCTTTTCCCCAGGCTCTCCCTTGTGGGGTGCACTGAAGGTGGCCCACACCACTGTTGGTAGTGTGGGACGGGGTGGAGCACATGCTGTCCCCTCACATGGACAGCTCCCACTGTCCTTGGGAGCTGCCACCACGGTCTTATGAGCTCACAGACTCAAGCAGAGGTAGGTGTTGTGGCACAGGTTATGGCCAGAGCAGTGCATTGCCATCTCTGGATGATGTGACACCTTGGGACCGTGTCACCCTCTGACTCTCTGGAGCAGAGGTGGTGCTGAGGTTTGGTTCAGAGAGCCAAGCTCATCCATGGGGGTGTGGAAATCTTGGCATTGTGCTGTGGTGGTGACAAGCTGGTGCAAATAATTGGAAAGAGGTGCTTTCTGGTGGGCAGGAACAAGAGTCAGAGGAAGGAGGGGATGAAATTCCCTGCTGTGTTTGTGTGGTGTGCAAGGGTTGAGGGTCAGAGCAGGGTTGGGGTCTGCGGGCACAGGGCAGCATTGGGGTGCCTGGTGAAAGAATGGGGAGCAGCCTTGGGGTGCTGTTGGGTGTGGGGGGCTGTGTTGGTGTCTTGTCTTGTGTTTGTACTCTGTGAAATGGCTGCGTGGGAATAAAAAGTGTTGTAATCCTTCGTAAGCACTGCCTCCTGTCTGATGGGGGCAAGGAGCAGCAGGGCCTGGAAGGACACCAAGGCTGCAAAGAGTCCCTGGGTGGGTGGACAGGGAGTTTTGGGGTGCCAGGCAGGGGCACACCAGAGCTGAGGGCAGGGGTTGTGGCTCGAGTGTGGGTCTGGCAGGTTTGCCATGGCGTGGGCTGGGATGTAGGGCAGAAGGAGCAGAGGAGATTTGGGTTCTGGGGCAGGGGGGCAGCTGGTTCCTCTGCCTCAAGACAAGAGGTGGGTAACAGGATGTCACGGACTCTGCTCTGCTTCTTCTCTGCCTCCAGCTCCCTCTCTGTGCCCTCTGTGTGTGTTAGCTCTGAATTCTCTCCTTCACTCCTCTTTTCTCCCTGCGACTGCCTCTCTCTGTGCTGCCTCATTCCCCCCATCTCTGTGCCTCTTTGCTCTCCTGCCTCTGCTCTCCCTGTCCTCACTCTGCCCTCTCTGTGCTTCTCTGCCATCCCTCTCCTGTCCACTTTCTGCTCCCTCTCAGCGTCACTCTCAGCTCTCCAGTGTCACTCTGCCTCTCTGCCTTTGGTCTGTTTGCTCTTTGTGCCTCTTTGCCCCCTCTCTCCCATATTTTCTCTCTGCTCTCTCTGCCTCTGTGCCCTCTGCACCTCCCTCTTTGCTCTCCAGGTCTCCCATCTCCTTCTCCAGTCTCTCTTTGCCCCGGGCCGTGTCTCTCACCCTCATCTCAGCGTTAATTAATGAGCTGCTGAAGGACGGCAGCAGTGTGGGTGTGCTGCGCCCCAGGGAGCTGCCGGAGGGCTGCGGGGGGAGCCCCGAGGATGGAGAGGATCCCCGGGCACTGCAGGGCTGATGGTGTGGGCAGCCCGATAAACAACACAGGGCCTGGTGGGGATGTTCATGGCTTTCTTTGGCTCTTAAAGGGTTTGGCAGATTGTCCGAAGAGCAATGGCGAGAGGAGAGCCTGAGCGTGGGATCACACTGACCACAGAGCTGATCACAGCACTGACCACAACACTGACCACAGCCCTGACCCCAACCCTGACCACAGAGCTGATCACAGCACTGACCACAACACAAATCACAGCACTGACCACATCACTGACCACATCACTGACCACAGCCGTGACCACAGCACTCACCACAGCCCTGACCACATCACTCACCACAGAGCTGACCACAGATTTGACCACATCACTGACCATGACACTGACCACAGCACTGACCACAGAATTGACCACATCACTGACCACAACCCTGACCACAGCACTGACCACAACCCTGACCACAGCACTGACCACAGAGCTCACCACAGCACTGACCGCAGATTCATGGACTTAATTGTCCTGGAATCACCTCAGTTTAGTTTGGAAGAGAAAGAGACCTAAAAGCTCCTCTCATTCCACCCCCTGGCAGGGGTCCCCTGGCAGGGACACCTTCCACTGTCCCAGGGGGCTCCAAGCCCCGTCCAGCCTGGCCTTGGGCACTTCCAGGGATCCAGATCTTCTCTGGGCACCCTGTGCCAGGGCCTGCCCACCCTCCCAGGGCAGAATTCCTTCCCAAAATCCCATCTAACTCTTCCAGCTTTACCCCAAAGCAGATCTGTCTTTTGCTACTTGAAATCCAGACTAGTAAAACTGATCCTGGGATATCAAACTCTCTTTGATCTTAAGCTCTTCAGGTTGTAATTTAATGTTCCAAAACCAACCTGATCAGATGGAGAAGCAAAATTAGCAGCTGTCAGATGGCCTAGGGTAAATCTAACCATGGGGGCTCATTTGGGATGATGGAAACGTGACTCAAAGGCTTTCACATGCTACAGCTGTGTTTAAAAAGAAAAAAAGAAAAGAGAAAATGCCTTAAATTCACTATTCCAACTGCATATGTTTTCTTTTGCAGACCCCTGGCTGATTTAGCCCAAATTTATTAATGAGTGATTACTTACCCGTGTGTTAATGATGATTAAAACCAAACCCTGGGCAATGGGTGCTGTTAATGCTAGCAGTCCAATACACTTGGTTTAAAGTTTCAAACACTGTTGGTGTCTTTTACACCCACCCAAGATCTGCAGCTTCAGAGGGTGACAGGGTGGGGGGACAGAGGGACACTGAGATTCAGCCAGAAGGGACAGAGCTGGAGAGCTCTGAGCTGCTGCAAATGCACAGGAATGCCATCAAAGGGGGCAAAGCCGTCAAGCAGGGGAGGGCAGGGAGCTTTGTCAGGAATAACTTTGTTCACTCTAAGGAAACCAAATGAGCAAGAGAAACCTCACATTATTCATAACTGACATCAAGTAAGCCCCAAAAAGATGCAAAGTGCCCCTAAAAAAAGATGCAAAGTGCCCCTAAAGTGCATGGAGAGAGCGAGTTAGACCTCAAGAAACCCTGATGACCTACAGGAACCCCAACTTTTAATGGCTGACCTCTAGTAATATCAAAAGTGACCTAAAGTAACCCCAAAATTTTCAGGAGAGAGTGAGTTTGACCTCAAGTAACCCCAATAGCCTCTAGTAACCCCAAATTTTAATTGTGGCCCTCTAGCACCCCATAAAATACTGAAAGTAATCCTAAAGTGCTCCACATATAATGAGTTTGACTTTAAGGAACCCAAGCTAATTAAAATTGGGGGTTATTATATAATCTATATCTATATAATCTATAAATCTATATAGCTATACATATATAGAGATGCAGATATAGATATTTATATATATGCACACATATATATTTCCCATATACATTTGGGAAATACATATATATTTTTCACGTCCGAGGGGACAGCAGGGAAGGGGCCCAGAGCGGGCAGAATTCCCCAAAATTCCGCAAAATTCCCCAAAATTCCGCAAAATTCCCACTCCGGCAGCGCTCGCAGGGACCGAGGAGCGACTGCGGAGCTCCGCCCCGCCCAGACCACGCCCCATTCAGGCCACGCCTTTGACCACGCCCCGACACGCCCCAGCCAATGGCTACGCCCCCATTTCTTGACTCCGCCTCTTTCTGCGCACTGACGTCACCGCCCGAGGTGGCGCGAGCTCTTCCGCCGGTGACGTCACGTGGCGCTACCGCTTGGCCCCGCCCCCGGCCCGCCCCCGCCCCGCGCCGCTCCGGGACCCCGGGCAGGTAACGGGATCGGGGTTTGGGGTGCCGGGTTTGGGGTGCCGGGATGGGGGTCACGGAGGGGGGACACCCCCGGCAGGGCCCCCGCGCTCCCTCCCCGTTCCCAGCTCCCCGCGCCTCCGTCCCCGCCGCTGGCCGTGCCACCTGCGGCTCCCGGGCACGGTGACCCCCCTTGGGCACCCACCCTGCCCGGGGAATGGCCCCGCAGGGCACGGAACGGAGCCCCGTGTGCTGCCCCAAAAGGGGTTTTGCACCCCAGACCCACATCCCGGTGTCACCCGTCCCGCTGCCCGCTGTCCCCTGCCATAAGTGCCCCCTCCCACGGCAACAGGGCACAGAATTAGGGGAGTCCCCACTCCTGCGTCTTCCCTGCTTGACACCCACAACCTGCGTGTCCCAGATTTGCTCCCCAGTCCCGGCTAAGGCGATCCAGCCAGACGGACAGCATGCCAGCCCTGCCCGCCCCTGCCCACATCCTGGCGGGCACCCGATTTCCCGTGTCCCTGCGGCGCTAGGCAGGGACACCTCGGAGCAGTCACACCAACTCCTTTTCCTGCAGGAGCCACCATGGATCTGGTGCTGGAAGCCGCGGACCGGCACCTGCTGACCCCCTACGTGTACCCGGCGGGGTGGCCCGAGGGCGAGCCCTGCCGCCAGCTCCTCAGCCTTTTTGTCATCACCAACCTGGGGGCCCTCGCCCTCTACCTGCTCTTCGGCACCCTCAGCTACTACTTCATCTTCGACCACGAGCTCAAAAAACATCCCCAGTTCCTGGAGGTGGGTGCGCCTTGCTGACCCTCGCCCAGGCCCTGTGTGGCACTGTCCCCCTCGCCATCCCCTTGTCCATTCCAAATGTCACCTGCCAGCGTTGTGGCACGGGCTGTCCCCGCTGTCACTTCCACCCTTCTCTGCCTGCTGTTGCTTTTGATCATCCCTGACCAGAAGCAAGTGCCACAGCCCACTGACCCCAGCACCCAGCATGAGCCCTGCCCAAGCACAGCTGTCCCCATATGAGCAGCACCATGGCACAGATGCCACGACAAAGGGGTGGCCACGACGCCCAGCCCTCCCAGCCTTATGAGGGGCACTGGGGCTCTCAAAATGTGCCCTGTGCCCCTGATCCCTCTTGCCATGCCCCATAGAGCCAGGTGAGCTGGGAGATGTCCCCTGACCCCTCTTGTCACACCCCACAGAACCAGGTGGAGATGTCCCCTGTGCCCCTGACCCCTCTTGCCACACCCCATAGAGCCAGGTGAGCTGGGAGATGTCCCCTGACCCCTGTTGCCGCGCCCCACAGAACCAGGTGGGCCAGGAGATGTCCTCTGTGCCCCTGACCCCTGTTGTCACACCCCACAGAACCAGGTGGAGATGTCCCCTGTGCCCCTGACCCCTGTTGTCACACCCCACAGAACCAGGTGGGCCAGGAGATGTCCCCTGTGCCCCTGACCCCTCTTGTCACACCCCACAGAACCAGGTGGGCCAGGAGATGTCCCCTGTGCCCCTGACCCCTGTTGTCACCCCCCACAGAACCAGGTGAGCCGGGAGATCGCCTATGCCGTGCGCTCCCTGCCCTGGATCAGTGTCCCCACTGTGGCCCTGTTCTTCGCCGAGGTGCGGGGCTACAGCAAACTCTACGACAACATCGAGGACTCCCCGTATGGTGAGTGACCTCCCTGCACCCCCTGTCACAGCAGTGTCCTCTCCCCACCTGTGTCACCTCCCTCAGCCCCCATTTCTCCCAATGACAACCCTGAGAAATTCTCCTGGGTTCCTCCTGTCCCAGCCTGTCAACCAAAAGCCCAGGTTCTCTGCAGAGGAGGCACCCAGACACCCTCACTCAGGGTCGTGTCCCCCTGCTTGACACGCTCCACCCTCCACAAAAGAGATCCTTCCCTTCCCTTGGAAAGGGAAAGGAAACAGCACCTGACTCACTTGCCCTAGTGAAACAGCAGTGAAACAGCACCTGACTCACTTGCCCTGAGTCAGCCTGACGCTCTCACCTCAGTAGGGCAGACCCTGGCATGACTCAGATGTGTCTCCCACCACGAGGACCATTGTGGAGACCCTCACAGCCTCCTGATGCTCACATGTACCACCTCTAACAACCCTGTCCCCCCCTAGGCTGGTCTGGTGTCTTCCTCAGCATGCTGTCCTTCCTCTTCTTCACTGACATGGGCATCTACTGGATACACCGTGGTCTCCACCACAAGCTGTTCTATAAGGTATGGGACAGGACAGGGACAAGAGTCCTTGTCCTGCTGTGGTGACATTTCCAAGCTGCATTTCCATCCGATACACCGTGGTCTCCACCACAAGCTGTTCTATAAGGTATGGGACAGGACAGGGGGCTGTGGACAAGAGTCCTTGTCCTGCTCTGGTGACATTTCCAAACTACTCTTCCCAGGGGATGCATGCTCGGGTGGGAATGGCTGAACAAGGCATCACCGTGTGATGGGAGCTGAGAGCCCTTTAGGGCACGTGTTCCCCTCTCAGTTTGGGTGGTGAAGGCCCAAACAGCATCCCTTGGGGCCGTGAATCTGGCTGGGGGACCCTCTAAAAGGTCCCCCCCCGACTGACACCCCCTGTCCCCGCAGCGCTTCCACAAGCCCCACCACCTGTGGAAGATCGCCACGCCCTTCGCCAGCCACGCCTTCCACCCCGTGGATGGCTTCATGCAGAGCCTGCCCTACCACATCTACCCCTTCCTGTTCCCCCTGCACAAAGTCACCTACCTGGGCCTCTACATCTTCGTCAACGTCTGGACCATCTCCATCCACGACGGCGACTACCGCGTGCCGCGGCTGCTGCGGCACGTCATCAACGGCTCTGCCCACCACACCGACCACCACCTGTACTTCGACTACAACTACGGGCAGTACTTCACCCTCTGGGACAAGATTGGGGGTTCTTACAAGAGCCCCACGTCCTTTGAGGGCAAAGGCCCCCACGATTACCTGCGCAAGCTCCGAGAGAAAGACCTGGCAGCGTCCAACGGCATCGGCGGCTCCAAGAAAGATCCAGGAGCATCCAACGGCATCGGGGCCTCCAAGACTGAGTAGGCTTCCTCCAAGTGTGTCCCTTCTCTGGCTGGATCTGGTCCCATTCCTTACCAGCCACCCAAGACTGTTTCCCACGGACAAAGAGCCCCTGTCCCTGAGATGACGTGACCAGCATGGGTGATTTTTGGTGAGCGTCCGACCTGCCCCGGCCCCAGAGCGGCGGTGTCTGGCCTTGCTCCACACCACAGATTTGCCCTGGTTTTCCTACTGCTTCCCCTCCCAGCTCCCTTTGGATCTCTGCTAAGGTCCCTGCGCTGCTGTAGTGCTGTGCTGATGCTTTACAAGAAGAATAACATGGCACAAATAGAACAGTAACGTGGCACAAATTAACGTGACTCGCGGCAGGGTCTTTGTTCCACTGCTGCGCCCCTTTGTTGACGATTCCTTGTTCCCATCATGGTGTCCATCAGGACGAGCTGTATTTTGGAAAAAAACCCTAACTTTTGGAGGTGGTGTGCCTTCTTCTGATGGCTCCTTTGGTGGGACTTCTTGCACTCAACCTCCTTCCTCTTGCCCGGGGATGTCCCATGGAAGCATCATGCCTGTAGGACAGAGGCAGGCTTTGAGTCTTGTGGGTCTCTCGAGCTCCCTGAGAGCACTGAGGGGGAAGGGAGGAGGACCAGGCACCCAGATGTGAGGGCAGGGGCTTCTCCTCACTCAAGGGTCCGTGGCCAGCTTCCCCCTTAAGGGCCTGTGTGTTTCCTGCTGAAATCTGGTCACCCCACCTTTGGGGTGACCCATGTTCAATAAATCTCAATTGCCAACTTGCCTGCTGTTTGGTCCCTTCTCCCTGGCTCATGCAAAGTCTCCTGGGCAGCCTATTTCTGCCCTACAGCACCCACGAGGGGCTTGGCACAGAGCTGTGCTGTGCTGGCAGCAAATTTGTGCCAAAACAGCAGAAGATGGGCAAAACACAGAGTGGCCAAAGCCACCTGCAGTGCCCCAAACCTCCTTAGGTGTGACCGTGTCCCTGCACGGTGACACCTGTGCTTTCCCACTCCCTGCTCCCCCAGTTCCACCAGTCCCTGGAGCCCTGCTGCCCTTGCTGGGGATGGAGCCCCTTCTGTGAGTCCCTTGCTGTGGTGACAGCCCCTCTGCTCCTCCCCCAGCCTCAGCTGTCCCCAGGCAGGGCATGGCCCGAGGCCACACCACCACACCTGTGGCACCTGGTGAGCACAAGGGACACCTGCCCCACGTGCTGCCAGCACGGTCGCACTCTGCCTTCACCTTTTCACCAGCCCATCCCAACTTGCTCTCCCCACGTGGACAGCACCCCTGTTTGCTGATTAACCTGGGGCCTGGAGCACTGCCTGGGGTCAAGGCACAGCCCAGATCAAACACGGTGACAATATCACTGATTGGCCATCCTGATTCCCAATCCACTCTTGGGAAAGGTTCTCATCATCCCATCCTCCCACCTTAGCAGAGCCTAAAGCCCGGGCACCCCATCCTGGCAGCTTGGGGACAGACAGTGACCCAGCTGGGTCCTGGCAGGGCAGTAAAGGCTTAGGATGAAATTGCATCACTCTGGTGCCCGGTGCACCCTCCCGCGGCCCTTCTGCCCGGCATTCCCCCCGGGATGGATCTGCAGCAGCCCGGCTCCGGGCACAGGGAGCTCGTGTCCTGCGGGTCACCGCCCTGCCGAGGCTGCGGGCACAGGACGCGTCCCCGCGGTGGCCTTGGGGCTCAGCGGCACGGAGAGCAGCAGCTCTGGCTCCGGTCCCCTGGTGCTGCTGTTGCCACAAGATGGGGATGTTGCTCACCACAGCCAGCGCTGGAGCTGCACCTGCGTGGATGCCCTTCCTCCTCCTCCTCCTCCTCCTCCTCCTCCTCCTCCTCCTCGTCCCCCCAGCGTGGGGCAGGAGGGGCTCTCTTAGAGGACACACACGGTGTCCCTGCTCTGTTCCATGACCCCATTCCTCACGCTTTTCCTGGCAGCAGAGCCTTTTCTGCGGATTTGTCTGCAATAGCCTCCCTGTCCCACCCCACACGGAGCATTTCCTTCCCCCCCACACGATGCTCTGCCACTCACCAGGGCAGAGCGCCTTTGTACCACACACTGAACATCCCCCTCACAGAGACCCCAGCACACCAAGTGACCCGTGGTGAATGCAACAACTGGGTGCCTCTGACACAGCCCTGAGCCCTGCAGGAAACCCTACAACCATCATCATCCTCTGAGGAAGGCTCTGAGTCCAATGCCATGGATAGTGTGATGTCTTTGGCTCCTGGCATCCCTGTTTTGCTCCCTGATTCAGCTCCAGCAATAAGCAATGGCTCCTTTAAGCAGCTTTACTCTCTCAGTGAGGCTTTGTGGGAATGGCTGTTCCAGCCCCTCAGTCCCCCAAACCCTCTGGGACCTCTAAAGCTGAGACAGGGAAAGGTCTCAGGGAAGAGGGGAAGGAAAACCAGGGGGCCAGGGGCTCCTCACCTTGCTCTTGGAGTTCACAGCTTTTGCTGCTGATGAAATCCAGATGGACCTTAAAATAAACTCTGCACTGTTCCCCTCTCCCCTTTACGGCTCTTTTCAAGAAACAAAAAATACCTTGGCAAGGGAAACGTGTGTTTCCCTGCACAAAGAAAGAGCCATTCATCTGTGAGCATTTACCAGGGCTTGCTCACCCAAGAGCTCCTGGCTAAAGCTCTCTCCCTGTGCCCACCACAGGGAGCTCACAGGGGGACAGGGACCCTTCTTGCACCCTTTAAGAAGTGTGAAACAAGGGCTGGAAGAGAGACAGCAAACCCCCCAAACACCATTTTCCTCCATTTAGCACCTCAGCAAAGGCAGTTCCTCATTTCCTCCTATTTCTTACTCTATTCCTGTTACAGTCTGAACCTGCTTTACCTTTCTCCTTATCCTATCTCACAACAAGAAATGAACACATTAACAATCAGCCAACACTAAAACCCACCACACTCACCAACACATTAGTTAGAAAATCTCAAAATTAAAAAAAAAAAACCTAAAATTAACAAACCAAAATCACTACAATTGCCTCATCTCCAGGTCCTTTTTGAGTCCTTCTCATCTGGCCCAGAGAGCAACTGGCTGCAGGGATTCCCACACAACAAAACTCCCTCACTGACTGCCCAGAGCCATGGTGACCTCCTGTCCTCCAGGGGCACATCACTCTGAGTCAAGACCTCTAAAAGCCTTATTAGGAGGGCTCATAATTGTATTGACCCGATAATTGAAATACACTAACTGGGTTTCTAGGTGAAAGCACCTCGGGGAAAGCTCTGGACAACGTTTCTGCTATTAAGGCAAGTGGAATAAGGAGGAACAAGACTGCCTTGGGGCTGTCCATGGGATTTACAGGCTCCCATTCCTTCACTGCTGGGCCACATCCATTTTCTTTGTTGGAAATGCTGGAATGGTGCATGAGAGGCAGAGGGATTGAAGCCATCAGTGTGTTCTCAGTACCTCGGAGACACAAGAGGCCTGAGCCATTTCTTAGCAGCAAGATCATGCCTGAAAAACACCTCAAGAAATTTAGAGAGACAAGCTGGGGCTGAGCAACAGGCACAGCTCACCTTTCCTGCCATCTCCCAGTGCCATTTGAATCTCCTGCCTCAAATCCTTGCTCCCCCTTCCCACCCTGCTCTGTAACACCCAGGACACACACGAGCCCCAGGCAGGGCTGGGATAAATTGCTTTCTGAAGGGGATGCACAGTGACCAGGGGAGCAGCACCAGGGCAATCCCACGCCTGGAAGTCCAGCACTTTGAGCTGCCCCAATAAATCAGAGTTGTGGCCACTGGCATCACTCCTGTGCTGTCCCTGCATAACCAACCAAGCATCACGTCCTGCACTTTGGTGAGTTATGGGCATGGTACCTGTGCCACGCGTTCTGTGGGAAGCACACGGGCACTGGCACAGCTCAAACCCACCTGCCATGGGAGGGAGAGGTGGCAGAGGGTCCTGGAAAGACTCTGAAGGTCTCTGGCTTCCTACTCCCACCATGTCCTGCTCACCTTCCCAGCTCTGCCCAGGTAAAAAGAAGGCAGAAATTGAGACATTTTCCACTGTCTCAGGTTGCTCCAAGGCCCATCCAACCCAGCCTTGGACAATTCCAGGGATCCAGGGGCAGCCACAGCTTCTCTGGGCACCCTTTGCCAGGGTCAAACCCTCACAGGGAGAAATTTCTTCCTAACATCCAACCTAACCCTACTCTTTGCTAGTTTGAAGCCTTTCCCCTTTGCCCTGTCACTCCACATGCTCCTAATTCAACACAGTACTTCAACACAGTTTCCTTTCATTCCTTTCATTCAGCTCCCTTCAAGTCGATTTCCGACATTTCACAGAAATTAACTTGAACTTATTATTTCACCCCATCTCGACGTGAAGAGAGGGAGAAGGAGAAAAAGAAGAAGAGGAGAAAGAGCAGGGGAAAGGCGAGGGAGAGGAGATGCGGGGCGAGGGGGGGCCGAGCTTTAGCCCATTTCACAGACATCCACCAGAACTTATTTCACTCCACCTCGCCGGGGAGCCGAGCATCCTCCGGAGGGGGCAAAAAACACCAAGAGGGAAGAAAAAGAGGAAGAGGAAAGAAAACAGCGAGAAGCAGCCGACAACAGAGGAGGGGGCCCGAGCATCCTTGCCCGCGGGGAGCGGCGGGGGGGCTCGCACGGCAGCGCTGCCCATGCACATTCTCTCCGGGCGGCGGCGCGGCTGCCGCTCCTCCCGGCCCCGCTCCGCTCCGCTCCGCTCCGCCCGGCCCCGGCGGCACGAACATGGCGACACGGAGCTCTGGCGGGGCCGGCCGTGCTTCCCGCCGCCCCCGCCGAGCCCCCGCGGGGCCGCCGCGCCGCGCCGCGCCCGCCCGAGCCCATCCAGGTGTACGGACAGGTGAGCCCGCACCGCGGCTGCCACGGGATGCCGTGGCATGGCATGCGATGGCGTGGGGGGCACAAGCGCGGCTCGCCCCCCGCGGAACGCCGCGCTCCATCCATCACCCCCCGCTCCCCATCCTTCCCCGGGGGTCGCGGCGCGTCCCGCCCGGGCAGGGGTCGGTGCGTGGGGTGGCGGCTGTGTGGAGAGCAGCGTGTATTTAGGCAACGCTGGCTCGCCCCGCATCCCCGGCTGGCCGCGGGCACGCTGGCGGTGGCACTCGCGGGCTCGTCCCCGGCGAGATGCGCTCCCGGAGGGAGCAGCCAAGGGCACCCGGCGGGGATGGGGGCCGGGCATCCCCGCCGCCGGCAGCCGGGAAGGGACGGACTGCGATTCCCTGCGGGCAGCGGCGCCTCCGGGGATGCTCGCCGTGAGCATCGCCGCGCTCGGGAGCCGGGCAGGGGGAGGTGACGCTATTTGTGACATGGCTATTTGTGAGGCACCGCGTCCTTCCCCGCGAGGAGGGCTCCCTGCGTGCCTGAGCCATCCTCCGCTGATCCTCGGAAAACAAGGGGAGCAGAGTTGCTCATGGCAGGAAAACGCAGAAACTGCTATTTCTGAAAGTATCCCTGCTCGGGCTTGATTTGCTGGCAAGTTTTGCTGCCAGGACCATGAAGGCTCCCCCTCACCCCTTCTTTTCCATCTCTTTTGGGTGGTGATGACAAATTACACTTTTGGCTGGGGAAAGCTTCAGCTTTTTAAAGGTTCTACTTTATTTTTGATGTACCCACATGCTGTCTACACTTGGCTGCCCTACTTGATCCTCCTTGCCGACACTGCCTGTGTCCCCATCACGTGCCCAAAATGCTGTTGGGGGGGACCAGCCCACAGAAGGACACTTGAGGAGAGGCTTTGAGCCTTTGGTGACATCTGCCTT